GAAGAAAAATGTTCTGTTTAAGTCCTGTTTCTCTATGGGGAAATGATCCTTTCTGGTTTGCAGTGAAATTTGACTTTTTTCAGGGAAAGGTGAAAGTAATGCAGACCCACAGATCCCCTCACCCAAGGTTCTATTCCACCAAATGGTTGGTTGGACCTGGGTTCCATGAGCCATCCTGCTTTTTCTCAGGCTGTGCAAAATGTAGGAAGTGGCTGGGGATGTAACCTGCGCTTCTCTCAGCTGGCGAATCTTGATGCAGGTGTTGGACAGATTGGAATAGATCTAAGGAACCTTCACAATAATAATGGTGCCTGCCTTACTGACAACAGGCACCAGCTGGTAAGGCAACAGGGTGTGTGGCCAGGGACAAGGCCAGTGGGACACAGCTGGCCACTCTTCCCCAGCCCCACCTCCCAGGACAATGAGGATAACTGGGGGATTGGAGCATCTCTCTGATGAGGAAATGCTGGAGGAGCTGGGCCTGTTCAGGCTAAAGAAGAGATGATTGAGAGGGGACCTCATCAACGTCCATCACTATCTGGAGGGACGGCATCACAGGAGGAAGCCAAGCATTTTTGGTGGTGCCAAGCAATAGGACAAGAGACAACGGGCAGAAACTGATGCACAGGAACACCTGAACATGAGGAAGACGTCCTTTACTGTGTGGTGACCACACACTGGAACAGGTAGCCCAGAGGCTGGAGTCTCCCTCACCAGAACTGATTCCAGAACTCCATTCCAACTCTCCATTCCAGAACTGCCTGGATGCAATCCTCTGCTTGTGCTCTAGGATGACCCTGCCTGAGCAGGGAGGCTGGACCAGATGTCACACTGTGGTCCCTTTCAACCTGACCCATTTGCGATGCTGTGAGACCGAGGCCGCAGGGAAGAGCGGCGCCCGGTCAGAGGCCTCGCTACACGATCGGTGGCAGCAGCAGCAGCAGCCCTGCGGGACGGAGCCGTGCTGCAGGGAGAACCCTGCGGGACGGAGCCGTGCTGCAGGGAGAGCCCTCGGCCGCAGCCCCGGCCCCGGGCGGGGGGGCGGGCCCGGCGCCCCCCGGCCCGGCCGCTCCATAAAGGAGGCGGGCAGGGCCGGCCCGGCGGGAGGGCGCGCGCTGAGGGAAGAGCCGACACGAGTGGCGGGGAGGCGGCGCGGAGGGAGGGCAGCCCGGCTGCGGGAAGCGGGGCTCCGCGCTGGGACTGGTTCCTTCGCAGCCATTTTCCGTCCAACCAAACAGCCGATTTGCGGAGGGAGCCAACCAGGGCCGCACTGGAGGTTTGTGCCTGGCTCCGGCCAATGATTGGTAACCGGTTCCACTGCAGGCTCGAATGAAATGTCCGTCTCCCTCCCCGGGCCCCGGCGCTGCCGCCGCGCCGCCGCCGCGGGCACCAGGAAGTGCGGGGCTGCCGCCCCGGGCCCCGCACCGGCCGCGCGTCGCTTTGTGCGGCCGGAGCCGCGGGGGCCGCGCGGCCCGGGAGCCGAGCGGGGCGGGCGGGTGGGGAGAGGAGCGGAGCGGGCGGGCAGGGAGGAGGCGGCAGCGAAGGGGGTGTCGGCAGGGGCGGCGGGGCGGCTGCCCCCGCCGCTGTCCCGCTCTCTCCGCGGGGCCCTCCCCGCTCCGGCTCCATTTTGCGGCCTAGGCAGGGGTGGGGGAGCAGGCGGAGCTGCCCCGCGGCCGGCCGGCACCCCTCACCCCGGCCGAGAAGCGGCGGGCACTCGCACGGCCTCCCGCCATCGCTCCGGCTCCGCGCCGGCCGCGCTCGCCGTGTCCCGGGGCCGCGGTTTTGTGGCGGCCGCGCCGGGCGGAGGGGGCTCCGCGCTCTTTTGTGTCCGCCCGGCCGAGCCCCCTCCCCTCTCCGCGGGAGCGAGCGGCCGGGACCCCCACCACGCCCACGGCCCCTGGCCGGGCCAGAGCCGGGTAGCGGAGCCGCGGCGGCCCCTTCTCTCCTCCCGGTCCTCCCCACGCCGTTGTCGGGACCGAAATTTCCTGGAAGGTTTGGCGGTATTTTGCAGGGATGAGGAGCGTAGGGCGAGTCCCCGGGATGCGGTGCCAGCACCCGGCTGGCCGTGCGGGCGGGAATGCGAGGCCTTGGTGGCTGCGCGGGGGCCGGGCAGAGCGGCCGGCCGGCCCCGGGCAGGTGCGGGCAGCGCGGGAGTCACAGCCAGGCTGACCAACAATAAAGTTGCTGATTAACTGAGGACTCGTCGTCTTGTGCCATTTGTAAACAAGGGCACGATAGACGAGTTAACCTCTCGAACAGATGTGAGCTGGGTGCCAGGAAGCCTCGGAGGCTGTTGGTGTAAGTAGGAAGGTGTCCTCTGCCCCATCTAGCTGCGTTTGCATCATTGAAGGGCATGGAATCGGGAAATGGGATCGATCGGCTCGCAGTGGCACAGAGGCAGCTGGGAGGCATCAGCACTTGTCCTGTGACACACGTGACAGATGGGAAAGAGACAGGACCCTGCCATTATCGATGTCTACACAACTTTTCGGTGTGTGGCAGGTGTTCTAGGGCAGGCCTCTGTGTGCTAGCCACTGTTCTGCCTCCAGAAATTACGTCGTTGGTGATCCTGAAGAGTACTGTTGAGGTTATTCACAGGCAATACTATTGGAAAACCACAAAAATTTTATGTGTTGTAGTAACGTTTCTGTGGCTGTGTTATATATTCTGCAGTACAGCAGCAGTAGAAAATCAGCTTCTAGCTTTACCAATTTGAGGTTTAACCAAAAATATTTTGTTCTGAAAAGAGCTGTCAGGTAGAAGCTACCTAGTGTGCTTGTGCTTAGGTTGCTTTTGGGATGGTAAAATTACTGCTAACAATGATCTGAAAATTTTTAGGCAATGAGGAGCATAGAAATCTGGATTTCAGCCCATTCATCGACTCTGTTGCATGTAGTAACCTTTCCTTGGCATCTTGGTAGATGGCAGTTATTGTCAATTAAAAAATTCAGCTTTCTCAAAAGAAGCTCTGGCAAAATGGTCAGAAAAAGGGAGATGGCAGGTGCCACTTTGGGCAGTATTCAGTCTGGCTTTAATTGGCTGGCAGGAATGGAGAAATAGTGTCTATATATAATCATTAGCATACTGTTCCTAAACAGTAAGCTAGTGGTTGCTTTCTTTTTTTCTTTGCTTATGTGGCCTTTGGCGTGACAACTACAATGTAAAGGCAAGATCCATCTGCAGTTATCTCGGATACCTGAGATGGATCAGTCTGAACCATTCTGAGGCCTCTGTGAGTTGCTTTTCTGCTGTGCATTGAGTGGGTGGTTATACTTGGTCTTGGCTGCTGGCATTTACAGCTATGGCATTATATGGGGAGAAGTTAGGAGTACTGGGTCTGGGTGTTACTCTTTAGACTTCAGGATCTGACAGTCACAGCAGTTCAAAGCTTAACTCTTATTTGTGGTAATAATTACGTGAAGGGAGGCAATGTTCAGAAATTGAACGAAAAAGCATGATTAAGATAATGTCAGGATATGAAACATTAAACCCTGAAACTTTTAAAGTCTGCTACCTTGTTTTGTCAACATTTAAAAAAGGTTTGCAAGGTTCTTCCTTTAGTGCTTTCAAATATAAATCTAATGTTGCTCCACCTTTAAAATTTTGCTTAGAAAGAAACTTGACTTAGGTACTGAGTTTTACAGTAGTGTTTTGAAGAAACGCAGTATTTGGAAATTGATGTTTTAGTGGCAGAATGCTTGTAAAAAGAGCAAAACATGACTATATACGTGCATACTAAAAAATATGGGTAAATAACAGTGGTAGAATAAAAGCAAGTGTCAGCAAATCCAACAGTTTTGGCCAAAAATAGTCTGTTCTGAAGCTAGTTCAGTCTGGCCTGAACTAGTTTTGTAAAACTCTTACTTGCCCTGTTGCTTGAGAGAAAAAAAGCTGCTTGGCATACTTGAGCTACTACCTCAACAAAGGAAAAATAACCTACTTAAAAATGTTATCAAACGTCTAAAAGGAAAGAGACAGGATTTATGGCTTGCTGCTTTAATAAACAAATAAGCTTAGTGGGTTTTTTTACCAAAAATGCTAGAAAAGTATCAAAAACTTACTATTGAAAGGTAATATGGGGATTTCAGTCAGGTTGCTGAAGGAACACACTGTGATGGTGCAGTGTGTTCAGCACTGCTTTCCTCTTCCAGCTTCTGTAAAAGCAACTAAACTGCCTCCATTCCTCTGCTCATCTTGTTTATTTTCCCCTCCAGCTTCTCTCTTCTACTGTCAAAAAAGAGAAAGCGTGGAAACTCAATTTCTCTTGCTTGCTCTGTATCACTGACCCACTCCTTCTTGGTTTGAAAATGCATGAGGTTTTAGTCCAGCCGTATATATTGGAGCTGACAGTGCTTGTGGATGTTAGCCAGCCTGGGAAGGAGCCACCAGCTGCTGTAGCAGAGCTGGATCCACGTGGAGGGGGCCTGTGGTCAGTGGCATTGGGGCTTGTAAGATAAGACATAAAGCTGATAGACTGTTACATGGAGTGGAAAGGTGGCAATGCCTTCTTTGGATTTCATAAGGGGAAGTTTCCTCCGCGCGGGCCAGCAGAAGGATTCTGGTACAGCCCAGATGCTAATGAGCCTTGTCTGGTCCTCTCAGCATCAGTCTGTTTTTCCCAGTGTTATTCTGTTGTGGGGGAAAACACTGAATGTAAGGGATTAGAGAAGCCCAAGAATGGAGAGAGAGTGCAGCATCTGGTTTTGTTCTAGCTATGTGCTAAGGGGTTTAGTGTTATATTTTTGTGTGGCTGCTGGAATAATGTCCTGTGAATGCATTCACCAGTTGTATTTCTTATAAACCTGAAGATGAGAGTTCAGTGGGAAATTAGGATCCCCAGAAGTCACTAAAAAATAAAAGGAAATTGAAAGTGTATTTTCAATTGAAAAATCTTTCTGCTTAACAGGAGAGGGTGCGGAAAGCTCAAATAAAATTTTGTGTCTCTGCTGTTATGTACTGATTCACAGCTTCACATCTCTTGTGACAAGGTATGGCAAAATGAATGATGTGGTTACTACCTACAGATTTAGTTATTATTTCTGTCCTCCTGCTTTGGCAGACATGACTGCATGGAATGTGTACCAAGTCCTCCAGTTCATTGCATATCATTTTCTACTGCCCCTTCTATAGGGTAGCAGTTTTGGGAGACAGGGTGAATAAATACCACACGAAATACTTAAATCACAGGAGGCCTTTGGTTTCCCTTCAAGATGGCAGTTTTTAAATCATTGCCAGATAACTTCCTTGTTCTGAAAACAAAAATCTTGTTTCTTCAAAATTTCTTTTCTTCTTTGTTTTTCCTTTTATACTGATCTAAGCTTTAGTCCCTTCTTCTCAGTGCTAGCAGGCTTGGGCTTGTATTCTTCTTTAGTTATCATTTAGCTGAGCCACTGATACTGACTGCACTTTTAAGAGAGCTTATAAGATTAAACAGGATGCAAGATTTACTTTGAGATGCTGATGTTTTATTAGTTTAGTATAGACATAATGTAGGAACAGTGGGCAGCTGACAGGAGCAAATTTTTTAAGCATCCTCCAGAATATTTATACCAAATGTCAGTGTAAACCTGTGTGTTCATTCATGTGCATCTTATCACTGAACCTTCTTTGATGCCCTTGAAATGTTTATCTTTTAATATATTTCTTTGGTTAATTTCCATGCATCATGTAGTTTGTATATCCCTAGTAATATTCTTTTTTTTTTATTAGAGATGGAAAAAGCAAACAGAAAACCACTAACAGAAAGCATTGTGCTGCTGCTCTGTATTCAAATTTTTCTTTTGCAGTGTAGTGCTGAATGTTTATGTTGTGTACGTGTTTACTCTCCCTGGTTGCTGATAAAATCAGATAGTGGCATGGTCATTTTAGAGACTGACGTGTCACTTCTGATATACTTGGCTCTCAGTCTTGATTCAGTCCATGTGTTTGCATGGAAGAGCTTCAGTGTCTCCTAGCCCTGGAGGCTGAGGGTAATGTACAACCTGTAGTAATTGCTTCCTGCAGTTGTGCACAGCACTTGCTGCTGGAAGACTGAGGTGTTGGAAGCCCTCCCTTGTGCAATTTGGCAGCAACACAGGGGCAGGAGATGTTCTTGTGTTAAAAGGCATTGCAATGTTTGCATGCTGAAACTGCCATGCAAATGTGAGGTATAATCTGCAAATGGCTACTTCTCTTTAAAGCCAGTTGTAACAACTGGGTGTTCTAAAGCAAAATCTGAGAGGAGCATTCTTGCCCCCCTGAACCTTTTAGGATTACATCTCCCAGGATTTTGCATGTTTTAGCATCTACTTCCATCTAAACTAGTAGGTCTTCCAGTAGGGAATATAAGAACTGTTGGCCTTTTAGTCTCTCCCAGTGACTGCAGTTAGTGCAGGCAAGGCGTTGTTCCTATGTAATATTGGACTGCTGCATTTCCAGAGCAACTTCGGGGACACAGAATTTAGTTTGTGTTATGGTTTTGGAGGGGGTTTATTGGTTGTTTGGGGGTTTTGTTTATTTGTTTAAAGGAGGGCAATTAATTAGCAACAGTGTAGTGAGAAGAGTGTTTTCTCATTTTCTGAACATTGCTGTATGTGTTACAGAACTTGTGGTGAGCTTGACAGATAATGTGGTGATTGACTAGAGTTTTGAACATCTGAAATGAAAACTGTAATGTGTGAGCATGTAACTGTTTGTTATGACTGGGATAGCAGTGGCCACATTTTCCTGCAAGGTCATGTTTGTCATCTATCGGGCTCAAAGAAATACTAGTAGGGTGACTTGGATGGCATATTAATTACAGTTGCTATATTCAGATGCCTGGATGTGGATTTGAATTGAATGACAACCCTGGCTGAAGTTCTTCCATCAACTTACTTGGATTGAAGTAGTGTGCTGAGATCTACTCCCTCGCTTACGGTGTGGTCAGCCGGGGTGTGGAGGAGGCTCATGGGGCAGCTGGGCCAGCTCTGTCTGTGGTGGCTTTCAAGATGTGGCTGGAAAGTCCTGAGTGCTCTGCTCTGAGCTTGGAGCTGACCCTACTTATAGTAGGTGTTCGAGTAGAGACCTCCCATGGCCACTTCCCACGTGAATTATCCTGTGGGCCTGGATCAGGACCTGGTTATGCTGAGCATTATGCAGAAACATGTTAGCCCTATCCCTAATCTCCTGTGCCAAGGTTGTCCTGGCAGCTAAAAATCTTTCTTCAAGTGATACCCACAGAAGTAATTTCAGTTGATGTTAAGCTGTCAGTGGCTGTTTTCTTTATCCGAGTCAGATCTGTCTTTTTCTGTTGCAAGCCTTTTCCTATCAATTTTGCTAATCACTGTTTTAGATCCATAGTGCTGATAAACGTCCACACAAATTCCCACTAATGGTGAAATAATACATCCTATAAGTAGCTCTGGAAATGTGCACACAGAAAATAATAGAAGTAAAGGTATTACCTTGAGGATGCATTAGTCTAATAAGATCAAAATGTCTGTAGATGCAGCAGAAGTTTGAAAGAGATTGAAGCAGGAATTGTCTTTTGAAGGCAAGCTGAGCTAATGAAAGCAAGGTGATGTCTTATTTTTGCTGGGTCTTGTCAATAAAGATTCAGATGGAGTAGCCTGCAGGAGAGGTGAGCAGAAACCAGTTCATTATCACATCATGGCAAAAATTTGAAGAATATTGCAAGGTATTTAAAATACCTTGTACTGGGGCTGAGTAAAGATTGAGATCCTGAATTAAATTCTAGTAGGGATCAGAGAGCTGAAACTGAGAAGACTACCAGAAAGCTCTAAGTTAATTTTGGAGGTAGCAGTTGGGATTTACCAGACTTCAATTTTAGTTATTTCAAATTGCAGAAGTAAGAGAGAGGCACAATTCTCTTAATGATGTGTGATGTCAGTTTTGGTGATCGACATGCAGGATTGTAATATCCTTGCACTGTCATTACAGTAAGCTCAGTAAGCAAACTGCAGACCCTTTGGGAGGTTGAAAAGCAAAGTTACATCTCCCAACAAAGAGCCTGCAAAATGTGGACAAAGTGAATTTTTGTGAAGGTTGGCACATGGAAGGTTAATGCCTAAAACACTGCCCTTTCTTTGGGTAGAGCTGCTGTGTAAGAAGTGAAGCTAGTTTACAGAAGCCCAGCAAAAGGGACCTGAAGTTCTTTATAAAAGCATATGTGATGTTCTGTACAATGAAGAAGAGCTGGAAGAGTCTGTTTCTCTTGAGCAGCTCCTAAGGCTCTGTCCAGCTGTTGTTGGAATGCGAGCAGCGCTTGCGTTATTTGTGCGTCTGTGGCCAAGGGTAACGCTGGACATTGCTTGAAGGTTTCAAAGTCAAACTCAGCCCTGTGGCCACAAGCAAAGTGCAGATTAGTGAGAGGTTAAATGCTCATATTTCTGGGTAGGTTTAAAAATAGCACAATATTGCTTTTCCTTCTTCATGGGTGTGCAAAAATTGAGCTCTGGTCTCACTGGCAACAGCCATGTGATCCTTCAAATACAGCAAGGTACCCACACACCTTGGGTGTGGGGTCAGTGAGTGAAGTCAGCTGGGATCTGCCTCTCCAGGGGCTATGGGTGTAGCTTGTCAGTAAGAAGGAGGGAAGCACAGGCTCTTTTGCCATCCCTTTTTCTCGTGGCATTTAAGTTACCTATTAAACTGTGACTGCCCCCATCTCCAAACCCTCATCTTCTTGTTGGCCACCACATCAGAAGCTTGAGAGAAGAGCACGTAAGGATGCCCAGAGAGTGAGGCAGGGCAGGACCAGGGAATGCTAAAACATGACTCAGAAGGCATATAGGAGTAACTGGTGTCTTAGGGAGGATGAGGATGCAGAGCTGGTCCCACTGTCTGTCTAGAAGTTTGTCAGTGGCTTGACAAACCAACGTGGAGGGTAAAGGTGAGTGAAGGATGCACTCTGTGTAGTAAATAGTAGGCAAAACATTCAGTGAACGGGGGGCTGGTGTAGGATTTGAGGGTTGTTCAGAGACACCTTGCATGTTCTGGTCAGACTTTCATGGAAGCTATATTATACATAAACCAAATAATTCTGTGCATGGCCTCTGCCTCTGGCTGAGTTTTTTGGAAAGCCTTACGAAACACGTGAACTATTTCCACTGTCAGTAAAACTCATTAATGACAGTGAGGTTGCTGTTCTCCAATAGCAAAATATTTATGCTTTGTATAAATTGATCTCACTGTGCTGGATTTGAGTAATAGCTGCGCTTAGTGATGTAACAATCACACCTGAAAGGTTTCCTTCTTCTGGTTGTAGATGGATGGTGACAGCTCCACAACAGATGCTTCTCAGTTAGGAATTGCTGGAGATTACATTGGTGGCAGTCACTATGTCATACAGCCTCATGATGGTAAGAAGTGAGAGAGTAAATGCTACTACTTCTCTGTATATGTGTGTATACATATATTTTATTCCAGTTCTTGTATCATTCTCTGCTATCTTCTCTCAGGCTAAGAATTTTCCATTGTTTTCATCATGCTTCACTATATAAAGCATTTTTTTCTGCAGTCTGAAGGGGGGAGGTTGGATTTTTAATGTTGGCGCAGAAACCTTGAGGGAATGACCAAAAAATTAACGTTCTAGGAAGCAGTTTGTATTTTGACATGGCATTAATAATGATTGTTGATCAGGAGCCATGTATAATTCTGTGCATAATGTGATAAAATGCTATCTTTGTAAAGGCACCCTGATGTTGCATCTATTTTAAAAATTATTTCTATGATGTTAACACACTGTGCTTTCAAAGGTCTTCATCCTTCAGTGTAAGATTTTAAACTGAATTATTGCCTGCTGTCTATCCCATGTAATTTCTGTTAACTTTTCTTCATTTCATTAGACACAGAAGACAGCATGAATGATCATGAAGATACAAATGGCTCAAAAGAGAGTTTTAGAGAACAAGATATATATCTTCCAATTGCAAATGTGGCAAGGATAATGAAAAATGCCATACCCCAAACAGGAAAGGTAATACTGTTGTCTGGTAAAGAAAGTGTGTTAATGAGTTTTATTCCTTCCTCTCAGTGAGGCTGATCTGATTAGAGCAACATATTTTTCCAAATGGTGCTGGTTTATTGAAGAAAAGTGTTATAAAAGGAAAGGGAAAAAAGCCCTAGGAACAGGATGTGGTTGAGACCAAGCCCATTTCTCGAAGATTTCTGAAAGCTTTTAGTAACGGTTCTAGTTAGAGTGTCCAGAACTGTTCTCCATTGGGCTTTCAAGAGCTTTCTTTTTCTAAGATGTGTTCTCTGAAATTGTTGTAAAGGATCAGACTTGATGACAGTCACTAAGAATATTTTCTATGCAATTCTCTTGAGAGATTTAGTCTGCTTTCTTTGAGGTGTATAAAATTTGGAATAAGTGAATCATTTTGGCTGAAATAGAAATCCAGTGCTCATCCTGAAGGAAAGAGAATGGTTAGCCTTGCATCACCCGAATATTCACATACCCAAATGCCAAAGTGACCTAAGAAGTCTGCTTTATATTGCGGAGCAGATAAGGCCAGATATTGAAAGCCTTATTTATTTCTTACTTCTAAGAATAGACTTTTTAATCCATTCTGCTGAGCTGGTGGTTGTATAAGTACTTCATCATTCTACTGGTTTATCTTAAACCTTTGCAGGGCTTCTATGATTTGCTGTTTCTCTATTGTATTCCAATACAATTCCATCCACAGTAACATTTCCTCCACCTAAAACTGATATCTCTTTTTGGAGATCACTCTAAATAGAAGGAAGACATAATTTACTTGCATCTGCTTGTATTTTTATAGTGTTCAGGGCTTGCTGGAGATCTGGATGTTACATTTATAACTTTGCTGTGAAAAACTCTACCCTAGTCCATATTGTCATAAATTTTTAGTGATCAGGATGAGATTTTTCTTGAGAATTTAGCATATGGGATGTAGAACTATCTTGAAAAGTCAGGATGTTTTTTTGTAAAAAACTGCAAGGAAAGCTGCTGACTGATGACTTCTGAAAAATCTCACCCTATGTGTCTGAAAATACCAGAGGAGCTAGTGAAGACTCTGCACACAGTTACTGCTTCAATTTTTTTGGTTCTTTTCATGTGAAGAATAAGAATCTTAATTATTATAATCTTCTTGTTGACTCCTGTCAGCTTCCCAAGTAATCATGAGTAATATTTAAGTTGGGTAAATTACTTTTGTCCGGCTGAAAACTAATGAAATTTACTTACTTCATTCTTGCCAGGGACATATGTTGCTTCATTTGAATTCTCATTTGGTAAATTTATACTGGAATACTAAAGCATTAGAAAGGCTTGCTGCTAGGTCTATATTCTAGTCCTTGAATCTATGCAGGATAAAATTACTTGTCATTGCTGAATTTGTGGGAATATACTGCAGTGGGGTTGGAGTTACCAGCTCTCTTAAAAGAAGAGGAAATAGGCTGTGGCATTGTAATGAGCAGGTTTGAAGAGCCATAGGTAAGCGAAACAAGAAGCATCTGTGTATAAAAGCTTGTATAGAATTTATGACTTCAGGTGATACTGGCAGTTGGCTGTGCTGCTTGAAATACTAAAACATGGGTAAAATCACAGCTGGTCTTACATAGAGCAGTGAGGACATCCAGTGGTTTGCTGTGCAGGTGTTGCCTAAATGAGTATTGTCATTGGGTTTTGGAATGTTTCCTCAATTATCTGGTGTATTCTTTGTGGGGTTTGTGGTGGTATTTTTTTCAAGTCTTGTGTCTTCATTAATGATTTTATGATACCTTTCTCCTTACTAGATTGCTAAGGATGCAAAGGAATGTGTACAAGAGTGTGTAAGTGAATTCATCAGCTTTATAACATCAGAAGCAAGTGAGAGGTGTCACCAAGAGAAAAGAAAGACCATCAATGGAGAGGATATTCTTTTTGCCATGTCTACCTTGGGGTTTGATAGCTATGTTGAACCTTTGAAGTTATACCTCCAAAAATTCAGAGAGGTTGGTATATATGGGTATTTTCTCATTTATTTAACCTGGTTGTGTTTATCCTTAGCTCTCTGTTGTTGTAACTGTATAATGCCTATCTTGCCCAGTATCTCACAGCTCTTGGTCAGGGAGTAACGTAATGTTTAAAAGCATTCCAGAGGATATCAAGAGAAGGAGGAAGTAAGCATTTTGATTAGACTTGCTGATTCAGAGTAGTTAAAGCTTTCAACTGAATAAATTCTCTAATATATTGGTGGTAGTAAATTGCTCTGCTCTTTAAAGGTGCCTATTAAAAATGTTTAATTGGATTTTTGGGTTCAGACATATGTACTGACTGCATCCTCTGAGGTACTGACTTAATGCCTGTTGTTTGTCTGGACTTCAGATCTGCAAATGAAAAAAACTGTTTTTATCTTGTTGGAATAATGATTCACGTGGGAAACTATCTGCTTCAGTGGGTTTTTTAAAATTATTTTTTTAGCCTGTCCCTTGGTTTGCTTTTCATACATAGTACAGCTAGGTATGTGATCCAAACAGTTAATTTATCCCTTCTCTAGCAGAAAGTGACTTTCTTCCTTTCAGCAATTTAGACCATTTCAAAAAAGGAAGTTGCTTCTGCTTGGGTTTTTTGTTTTGGTCTGCCTCCCCCTGTCTAAATTGGCAGAACGGTAGATAAGGATGCTCTTCTGAGATTCTTTGTTTTGTAAAGCTAAGATTTGCTAAGATTTCTTTAAGTCAGACATGCTAACGATATTTGTTTTGCTGACATCACTTGAAGCTTCCCCTTCCCAGAAGGTCATTTGCTGGATAGCTGAGTAACAGGAGGTGTAATATCAAGTTGGAGTAGTGCTGTGTGCTGTCTTTTTCCAGTTCTCTGTAGCAGTTGCACATGCTGTGATAGTGCTGTATGTGCTTTTGAAAAGACAAGTATTGCCTGACTACCAATACGTCTCAAGTGGGTCTGTGCTACTTTCATTGTTAATTGACCATTTTTGCAGATTATAGATGCTGTGGTAGCAGAGTAGTTGGATTGGGTTTTAATTGCATAGATGGATTAAGTAGCTTTGCTCATCAGTTTTAAATCTCCATTCCAGCAAGGGTGTCTTCAGGGTGAAGTACTTCAGTTTTGTAACTGAGTATTTTGTCTGCAGCAAGCAGTTGCAGAGAATCTTTTTTATGCCCACATTGTTTTTCTAGATGTTCTTATGTAATAGTATAGAATATCAAACTTGTAAAACTGCATGCAGATGACCGGGGGCCTTGGCTTTCTGTACTGATATCCTTTCTGGCTGTAGTCCTTGATGTGGGAGAAGAAATTCCACATCTTGGTTTTAAATGTCAGCTCTTAGTTTATGGTCATGGTGCTTGTGTGTGGTTGGTATGCAGATGTTGCACATTCTTGGTAGGTGAGATTCTGTGATTTCTTGTAAATGCTCCTTCTGGAGTACCACAGATTTTGAACTTTCTGCAGAAGGTGAAAAGCCTTTCTTAGAACCACACAGTCCTAGTTCGCCAAGTTTTTGTTTCAGGAGCATGACTAAGATGAAAAACACTCATGTAATATGCACATTCTCAAATCCCATAGTTTTACAGGTCTTGGGATTTCAAGCTCCAGCTGTTACACTGTGACTTTTCTGCAAGTTTCAAACCTTGGCTAGAGCTCCTGGGGCTTTGAAAAAAAATCTCAAGCTTTTTTTCTGCTGTTTTGTGCTCTCTTCTTAGGCAATGAAAGGAGAAAAGGGAATTGGGGGAACAGTTACAACTGCAGATGGTCTAAGTGAGGAGCTCACAGAAGAAGCATTTAGTGAGTAATAATTTTTAATTTAATATGTTACTGCTACAGCTTTTATAAAAATTTCATCAGGCCATCAGCATTCTTTCTTGAGGAATATATCCTGGACTAGTAATAGCTCATGTTAATTGTGGAAAATTTATAAATGCATATATTAGTGCTAGTATACACTTAAACACAGGTTGTAATGAAAGGTTCAAACATTTTTTTCTCTTTTCCCTACAGTAGCTACATATTTAGGTCCCATTAATTCTACTTGCAAGACTGTTGGGGGAAAATGAACCCCTCTTGATGACTTGAGGAGCTCATCTTTGAGAAATGAGGCAGAGAAGAAAATCATCTTTGTCTAATTCTAAAGAAGTTAATATTTCTTACATTCAAAAGAATTCACAGATTGGGAGCCAGGAGGTGTAGGGTGAGGAGTATCATGTGCATTCAGTATAGTTTTTCTTCTGTTTACTGTGGATTGAAGCCTGACAGTTTTTTGGGATTTGCACTGATTTTGATAGTGCTGATTCTTGCTTGTAGTCTCCACTTTGGCTTTTAAATGTTACGGGCTGGTAATGTTGAACCGGATACAAGAGGAATTAGGAAGCAGAGCTCTAGTCATATCTACTGACAAGATTTAGTTTTTTAAGTATGTGATAAAATCGCTGTAAACTACTGAATTAGCAAAAATTCAAAGCCTCATGACTAAAATGACCTATTCAGGGTTGGAAATACACTTTGCTCTCAGTTTGACTTTGGCTGCATAAAAGAGTGCAGACTTGTTGGGTCTCTTCTAGCCTTGAAGAGTAGCTTATAAAACTGGCTGGAAATTAAGAATCTAAATGTAAATATTATAATAATTTTATATAAAAAACTTGTAATACTTAGTTTTGGATTCTTAATTTCCAGACCTAGGAGACTCAGAGTGCTCTATGAAAAAAGTTAATGTTGCTGTGACTTGGAAAGAGCAATTTTAGAAATGTCCTGGCAGGATTAAGGATGCAAAGGAGATGTTGCAGTATTAGAAGAAGTAAAAAAAAAAAAATTATGTTAAATAACTGACCATGTCAATTGCTGCAGGTATTTCTTTCCACAGGGGCAGCTATAGATCTGTCTGGAGTGAATGGTGGTGTCACTGCAGCAGTAGCAGTGATAGCTGTGCTTCTGTGGCATAACCCTCAGCTCTTGGTGGTGGCCTCATGCCAGGGCTGGGTCAGGGACTCTCCAATAAGCTGTGTTGGATGTGGAACGTGCACACTGAAGAGCAGTAAATTTTGGCCCTGCCAGAGCCACTCTCAGTAATCTTAATGCATCTCTTAGCCTGCAACTTAAGCAATTGAAAATTTGTTCAATGAAGGAGAAAGGAAAAAAAATAAAAACAACCCCAACCAACCAAAAATCTAATTAAAAAACCCTCAAGCATCAGCTTTCAAATGAAAGCTATTAGGATTATGCTGTGCTTTCAGAATTTTGTATTGGTTATATATCTTGTTTATATTTAATAACTACATGAACAAAGCCTCATTAGTTGTGTCCTAGGGGAAAATGTGCTACAGTGACAACCAGAGTTTAAGAGTTGTGCTGCTGTGCTTCCAAATAGCAGCTGTTAGGCACTTACTGTAAGTGTGAGAGCTCAACATACATGTTGTGAAGGTTTACCTTGGAGCATTGCTCCCTGTGTTTTCTCTCTCTATCTCAGAAGTACTTTTTACTCCTTTTGTTGGCCACCTCTTTCCTCTGTGAAATCAGAGCTCTTCTCTGTACCCTGAAGGACGTGCTGAAGTCAACCAGTGCAATGTCAGGCTCTAGCAGTGCCTTTTAGTTTTTGCATGTTCCTGTTCTTCTCGTCTGCCTTCCATGGGGCTTCTGTATTATGGAGTTCCTGATGGATCCCAATTTATAAAGCAGCACAATGATTTAATCGAGTTCCTCCCCTGTGTCTATGCTCAAGTGCTAACAAAGCTAACTGAATTCTCCAGGTTTCTTGGGCTACTGAACACTGGAGATGGCCTTTTCAGTGGTCAGGGTGGTGAGCTCCACTCCATTTGCCTGTGTACAGGTTTGGACATTCTGCTTACTCTCAGAGCAAAATCAAGTTGGATTTTATCTGTTTCTTCTGAATGGGAATAAACTTGTTCACTTGTAACAGTTGGTAACAAGTGTGATTCTACCAGTGTAGGATGGTAACTCAGGAGATTAATGGCTCTGTAGTCCTGGAGTGGACCACAATTATGTAATGGTGACAGACACATCAAACAAGGCTCTGTATGTCAAGCAGTTCCTGCCTAACATTTTTAAAATGCTCTTTCTTTCAGCTAACCAGTTGCCAGCAGGCTTAATAACCACAGACGGCCAACAGCAGAATGTTATGGTCTACACAACATCATATCAACAGGTATGGTCCTGTATCCTGTCCCCTACTCTTCCTTCTGCTGCTAAAATCCAAGCACTAGTTCAGCTGCTGTGTTCTGAAAGACGAGAATTAATTTTGTTTAGTCCTTTGGTGGTGGCTGTCATGCCATTCCAACACTGAGAATTCATGCTGCTTGCTGTGAACTGCTCTGCAGCTTCAGAAAAGGTGCAGTGGAATGTAAGCTTGCGTTTTCTTTCTCTAGATCTCTGGTGTTCAGCAAATTCAGTTCTCATGATTTTGAAGAAAACTTTCCATCTGGGAACACGAGACGGAAAACCTGTGCAACTCTAACCAAGAGGCAGTTTTAATGACTGGTGAAGAGATTTATCTCTTTGTACATTAAATAGCTGTAATGTAGCTACCAGAAGCTTGACTAATTGAGGTGTGAGTTCTGACTCAAATCTTTTTCATGATGATTTTAAAGAAATAATTGGATTTTAAAGGTATTAAAGTATTTTTGTTTTGTACAAGAGTTTGTTGCTCTGTATAACTCCTGTATGCATTGTATATTGCAATTTATTACTGTCAGAGATTTGTAGACAGTTTCTTATTTTCATATTGAATCATGTTACTTTTGTAATTCAGGTAAACAGCTGGGTTAATTCATGTTTACCCTTTGAATAAAATGGTAAGGGTATAGTTCATTTTTGAATGCAAGTTGCCTTTATTATAAAGATTGAGTTAGTCTTGGTTATGTAACTTGTCTTGCATGACAACCTCAACTAACTTTACATGTCAGCTTATTTATTGAGATTTTGAACGGGACTTTTTCCTCATGAAACTAGCAGCTCAAAAGAATTGCTACAATTGTTTTTTCTAATGTAACTTCTGAATTAAAGGTTAATCAAAACCAATTAATGCTCTACTACATTTAGAGGTTTAGAGCTTATCAACAGTGTTAATGAAAGCACTGACTGTGCGATGCAGGTTTTCTTTTTTAAATTTTCTGTTCAGTTGCATTAACTCTCCTTAGACTTACTTTGATACTTTTAAGGTAGTCTTTCTGCTATTGAAATAACTCTTCCTTTTTATGTATGGCTTTTAGAATCCCAAACTTAGAAATTCAAAGGTGGGGGGGGGGGATTTTATAGTCCTTGTGGTAAAAGATCTCACTTTAACTTTTTACTGAAGTGTTCTAACGTTTCTTGTGAGCCTGTGGGAACTCAAAAGTGGTAGTGACTTTCTGTGTCTGGGCTGTGTGTTGTGTGTGTGTGTGAGTATGTGTGTGTGAGTGGCTGACAGCTGAACAAGTGATACAAATCTGAAATGGAAGACAAGACTTCAGGTTTGCTGTCTCTTTCCTGGTTTTGCAATAAACTCTACCTAGGTAATGTAGTTCTGTATATTTAGTGAGCTGTTCTTGATAACATTGCTGGTTTTTTAATAATTGGGTGGGTAATTTTGTTGCCATGTCTTAGCCTATTAGGGTAGGGGTGGGGGTTTTAGTAGTATTTTTACTGTTTCCAGTGGACTGAAATGTAATATATTAATTATCTTTCCACGTACGTATTATTAATTTTATCAAACCACACCTTGAAACTGTTGCCATATGATTTCTTGCTGGTTTTTGTCTTAAAAAAAAAAAGTAACAGTTCAGTATTGGGAAATGAGCATAACCTAAGATATCCCAGAAGCCTGAAATAGGCAGCTCTTTAGCTAAACAAAAACTTCATGTGCAGGTTTGAGCAGTGCATCCTACCAGTCAGCATTCTGCTGGCAGAGCCTCTGGAGGCGATCCAGTGTATTCTGGGGCAGTCTGCATGGATGTTCTGGGCTCTGTGGCAGCCTGTCGTTCTTCAGCAGCTATCAACAAATGGAGTGTCTCATTAAATGTAAAACTGAATAACACAATCCCTACACGAGCCCCTTCTATTTGTATTCCAATTATTTCAGGTCAGCATAGCCTGTCCTTGCTGTTCCTAGATTTGCAATGGAAAAAAGCTGTGATAGCAACTAAGGAGAAGCTAGGGAAGATTTGGCATTTTGATGTGTAGAAAGCAGGTTGAGGTGATCCCACACGCTTGAAACAGGCAACATTTTTCAGGCTCCCCTCTCTGCTGTGAGTTTAGGCTAAAGTGTGTTACGTTTGTGGTTTATACTCCATCATGTGAGCAATGAAGTTGATACTTTACTTTTCCTTTTTCTTTCTTCTCCCCTCACCCTCTGAGGGCCAGGGACAAAACTGCATAACTTCTCATTCTCTTCCTGAAACTACAGCAGTAAAAGTAGTAGTACAACAGTTTGTTCCATGTCTCTCTGAATCCATTCTCCTAATAAAAGTTTGCAGGGTACTGTAGCCATGGTACACCAAATAAAACAAATGTGGTCTGAAGAAATACTTGCCTAATTTTATTAGCAGCAACACAACCAGTGCATTCGTTATATTTGTTCAACAACTGTGTTGTCATTTTGTTCTTTTTGAGTGTTTAAAGTTTACAAGTAGCTAAGACCCAAACCAAGAATGACCATTCTTGCTACATCTCATCTGCTTCTACAAAACACCTGTCTTTGGTCCTCTGAATGTTTTTTTTCAACTAAGATACCCCCAAACTCAAGACGGCTCGAGCTGTAGCAGAGTATGCTAAGACTTGGAGAAAGGCTGCTTGAAATAGCAGTGATGTTCAAAGATCTTTTTCCAAGAACAGTGACTCTTAAAAGTGCCTTTTCACAACACAAGCAAGTTTTACCACAGTAATTTTTTGAAAAATGCATTTTTGTGTAACTTAATCCTTCTGATATTTGTTTATAGGGTGCTTTTGTTATCTTTAAAAGCACAGAAACACTGTTATCTCTAGTCAAAGTGCAGTTATGAGAAAAGTTAATTTAGATGGTGTTCTTCTACATCTCATTTTCATTATAGTTAAAATGGGAACTGAGGCTCTGCCTTTCCCTGTCTTGTTGATGTACACATGCATTGTTAACTATTTTATTTATTTCTCCCTTCTGATCTCTACTGAATGCTAAAATCTGTGGCTGCATGGTGTAGCCAGAACACAGATGTGGTTCTAGCACGAGGTGGTATGTCCTAAATACCTACTGCCCCATACTTATCTGCCTGTAGCTAAAAATCAGCCTGAATTATATGGGCTATTCTCCAAAGAGCTGCCTTCCTTGAACTGCACTCTGGATCACTGAATGCTGTGGGATGATTCCTATTGCAGAGTTTGAGGATGATGCTCATGAACATGTTGTAGGCATGGATAGGTGATTTCTCTCTAGCCTTTGGCAGGAGAGGAAGCATATGGGCAACTGCGCACACAGAAGAGACTGCTCAGTGCAAAGCAAGGGGCAGAGCCAAGGGATAGTGTTTTCCCCAGCACCTCGCTGTCATGATAAGGGTTGGCAGCAGCTTTGCTTACAGCTATAATATTCCTCATTTTGCAGAGCTCTGAATGCGATTAATGTTCCAGTTAAGTCACGGAGACTTGCTGCCTCAGTTATATTTGCAGCAGTAAGACAACTTGCCTTTAAGTCACTGTATTGCCAATGCTGCAGGCTTGATGGTTTTGGGGTTTGATTTGTACCAAGTGGAAGAAAGGATGCCTTTCACTGAAACTAGTAGTGAATTTTCTTGTGTCTGTAGATGAAAAAACCTTCAAAGCTTGATGTAGATTCTAAGACAAGTAATGCTATAAGCAAGCTATATATGCAGTCCTATAGAAAGAAGTTTGATAATGTTAACTCTAATGGTTCCTCTTATTTTTCCCCTGTTGCACTGGTTTGGTGAAAAGAGCAGTAGTGGGAGGATGCCTTTTGGATGTGGTACACTGCAAGACATGGACCTAGTTGAAAAGACCAACCAATTTCTCCTCTTTGAAAATTAGATATGCTGTTGTGGCAAAGTAATTCACACTTTCACCCTTTCAAAGGCTGAAAAAGACATTTAAGCAACCAAATATTGATCTGTTTACCTATTGATTTGTGAAATTGGCATGGTAATGGACTGCAATGTCACCTCTGACCCTCAGGATGTAAAAGTTTAATGGGAAGCTCCCTGGAAACTGCCAGTTCAGCTTGGAGTGACATTCAAGGCCACGTGCTCTTGGGAGGGAGGGCAGTTTGCTGCTATGCACAATAGTCTCCAAATTGGTGCCAGCTGCACTGAGTTTATTAAATCCAAGTCCCCAAGGATGGCTGTGGAGGCAGGGCCAGAATGATGCAGTGCACAGCAGGTCTGAGGGAGCTGGCTACCATGCTTTAAGAAATCTTCCAGGCAAATTTCCAGGCTCATTTCCTGGAATATTTTACTGCAGCGTGCCAGGCCAGAGGAGCCATTTAGCAGAGCAATGGCACCTGATTTGCTTATGTGTGAAAGAAAACTATTGAGGGTTTAAATCTGCTGGGCAGAGGAGCAGCCTTTGGGCTGCTAATTTAATGTGTGTGTGCCTGATACTTACCCAGCCTGTACAGCAACATAAACAGCAAATAAAACCACCTCCAACAGCACAATCAAGACTCAGTTCATGTGCAAGGGCCATGTCACTTGAAACGTAGCTGCAGCTAGAACATTTGCAGCAGCACATTAGGAGCAGTATATACTATTTCTACTCTCTGCACCCTGGGGGAAGACAGTCCAGCACAGGAGAGCCCATGTCCCAACACTGTCAGGAGCAGCGTGACACAGAGAAAGGATGCTGGGATGCACAGGTTTGTTTTTGCACTGTCCAACTCCTCCTTGGCCCCAGCCAGGAAATCCAAACCCACCAGAGACCTGAGCTCCCCGCGCAGTGTTACAGCCTGGGAAAAGCAACATGGTGAACAGGCAGATGCCAGGAGCCAGCTGACAGGAAAAGCTAAGCACTGAGGGAGAAGGATCTGACATCTCACCTCCAGCCAGCTGGAGAACATTTCTGCTACAAGGAAACAGGCTCCGGCACTGTGGGATGAGAACGTGGAGACTGCAGAGCCTGGGGAGGGCTGCAGCAGAGGACAAGTCTGCTCTCACTCTATCCAAAACCACAAGCAACAGCCATGTTTTACAAGCTGAAACTCATCCAAAATATTTCTGGAGTATATGCAGTGGGATCAAGTTCTGTACACACAAGAAGAAGAAATATTGACAAAAACTGGCCATTTTGTGTTGTCTGACTTGAAGCTCTCATGTTGCTTCAGATGGCTGAAATGTAAGTAGCTGAAACCTCAAGCTGTTAGATTGGTATTTCAGGTTTTCTTTTTCACGACAGTAATTTCAAAGAGCTGCTCCCAGACTCAAAACACTTTCCTTCTGGAGCAGGCAGCATTTAAACTCAACATATAAAGTCTCTTTCCTACTCAGGCAAAATACAATGAGGAAATAATTAGGAAACTGCTGCTAAAAAGAAAAGTTTGGGATATTTGTTAATACTGCTCAAAGTTACAAGGTAACTGCTTGTACCTAATAACTTTTTGTTAAAAGACTTAACCAGCACTGCATGCAAGAACAATAGTTACTCTAAAAGGCAGTTAAGAATCTCTGGCAATAAACATTTTAAATGAGTGAATGGAAACAAAAACAACAACAAAAAAGGATGCAAAGTAAACCAACATTTTGGACCTTCTAAAAGGTTTTGAACCTTCTAAAATGGCATATAGCCAGTGTGCCTCTTTTAAGAATCGCTTTGAAATAACTGTATATTGATAACTTTCATATGTGGGTAACAGTATTTTATAATTTCAACAGATACAGAAATAACTCTGAATGCTAGGACACACTGAAATGCTTAGTCTCTTTTTGTCTTCAAAGATACCACATCCAAGCCTAAGTTTTCTTTTTAAGGAGCTGCTGTACCAACTTAGCAATTACATCTGATATTAAAAGCAGATGCTTGTTAGAGGCAAGAATCCCCTCAAAAAAAAAAAAAAACAACAAAACAAAACAAAAAAAAAACACCAAAAAAAAAACAATTAAAAAACCCCCCAATGGCAGCAAGCCATGCCCAGTCCCAATGTGAGAGATATTTTTGTTGTTCCTGTTAGGACTGTAAACCCAACAAATACATTAAGTACTTCAGGCTTTTGAAGGTTGTAGGGAACTGATCCAGTTGAGATTGACCACATTTATAGATGCCAGATTTTCACCATCTAGCATGAGGCAGTATAAGGAGGGAGTAAGAACAAGAGGCTGAGTAGCTCACACAGATCTCCTGGGCCTTCCTGCCATCCTGACTCCCTTTCCAGGGGCTGCAGGTGCTCGACATTCTCTGGCTGAGCCCCAGCACCATTCATTTATGCTGGGATCCAGCTGGGTGCCCACCCTACCCACACCTGCCCCACATCACGGGGATTTCCTCTCTGGGGGAAGTGCTGGAGGTGTGGTATCCTAAAGACTTTATGGCTCAAGAGGATTTATTTTAAGCTCATCTTCCTGAAACTTTTAGCTGACTTGTTGAAATTCTAATAAAAGGGATCTCCACTTCCAGACCAGTGGCAAACACCTCAAAATGAAGATTTCACTACTATTAACAGAAGGAAGAACACATTGCCATTGCCCAGACAGTGCCAGCAGTCAGTGTTCCATCCCTGTCCTGGGAATCTTGAAATGCTTCAGTGTCAGAACTGGAAGCCACAGAATAAAAGCCCTGATGTTTAGCTCACTAGAAATATTATAAAATGCACTACGGACCAGATAATGCTATAAAGAAAAAATAAATAAATCGGAGTTGTTTTTAAGATAAATTCATACAGCAAATTCAAATTTGCCTTAAAGAGAAAATAACTCCTACTCTTAAAATCTTATTAACAGAAAGAAAACAGCATGAGAGGGTTCTTCATGGTTGTTTTAGGCTTTCCCATTTGTTTTCCATTAATGAAAGCATCACAAATAACAAGACAACAACCATTATTACAATAGCTAGGAACACAAAGAAGGAATCAATCTGGGGCAGACAGCTTTTAGCATTCTCATGTGAAGTCTCTTAAGGAGGTCTAGGAACAATCCAGTAGACCTTTCAGTTCACTTGCTCTTCTCTGCTCCCCTGCTTCTTGCAACACATACTGCTTAGTCCCACAAGTTCCCAATAGTCAGCTGCCATAAAAGATGGTGTCATTTTGAGCAGAGCTGGACGTGGACACAATTCAAATCCTTAGTAGGAGCCTTCTGAGCAGACTAAGTGCTCACACATCTTTTTAACAAACTGCAACAAAGCAACACCACACTCTTTGGCACTCATTATCAACAACAGCAACATGACCCCTATATAGACAGGGGAAGTAATGTCAAAATTCAGTTCAGAGGCCACAGCCTGCAAGGCACAAAGGCATGGAAGGGGGCGTGGTGAGTGCACAGCAACTGCAGAAGTTGGGGCAAGGATATTGGAGAACCTCAAGTAGGGAAAAAGCTCATGAGGTAACTAAGAATTAACTTAGGAGACAGTATTTATGGAAGAGTAATAGTATTATGGCAGTGCTTATCATTAAACCCTCTTCCCCAATTTGAGAAATTTACTCTGTGCATCAGAAATTCCGAGTTTGTACACGTACACCTCTGAAAAAACAGACACACTTCAGTATTTACAATGCATTTGATAGGACAACCACTTTATTACAAAGAACAAACAATGCTTCAAAATAAGACTAATCAACTTGTATTGTACAAAATGTCAGTTTCCTTGTAGAGGTCATAAAGTAACAGGCTGTAAGATTAAGTTCACGTCAAATTGGCTATCCTGAAATAATCAGATAACAACAGTAATACTTACTATATCTTCAGAGTTTATGGCATGATCATGTGCTCTACTCCAAACTACATTCAAAAGATATTGCTATAATTACTTTGAAAACACAAAGTGTAGGTTATTGTTCACTTCATTTCCACTTTCACAAGAACATTCTGAAGATGAAGCTGTAGCAGTGGCTGCCATAACTGGCACAACTGTCCTATGCTTACACAGTCACAACCTCCCTAAGGAGTTCAGTAAAACTAGACATTTCTACAATATGGATATGGTAATCTGCTAGATTTCAGCTTCTGTCACATGTCCTTTAGCAGTATCTGAAACAAATGGATGACATGGAGTTTCAAAGAGCTGGTGTCAACAGTCTTCTAAACTTTAAAATCAAACAATCAATATTTGTCTGATATCTAGTTGATAGGCAAACAGGTGGGATTTAGACATTATAAATACAGTTCTAAAAACAGACCACAAAGTGTATTTTACAGTGTGTACCACAATTTCAGTTTAAAGTAAAACTGTGAGCAACTGAAGAGTTGCATATGATCACTATTCAATGTTATCCAGCTTGGACAAAAAAGAGAAAGTGACATCTTATGTCAAGTCAGCTGAAGAAAGCACACTCACAAGGAAATTATACTGTCATTGAAAACGCCACAGTTTTACCCTTTGGTAGTTGTGACACACTCACTGAAAAAAGAAATTGTGCAAAGCATGTGAAACCAAGTGCAAAAAAACTCCACCCAGACACACCCAACAGGTTTTATTCTTAAATAACTCTACAATCACAGCTATCAACCAACAAAATCAAAGCCACAAGTGTTTTCTCTAAAGGCTTCTTTCACAGTACTAATAAGAAAAACCAAGTAATATTCTTCTAGTTGACAGTTCATGTGTATGGTACTTTAGTTATCAGACAGTATTGGTAGTGAGATCCTACCTGACGAAATGGACCATTAAAACACAAACATCTTAAAGCCAGTTAACTTCAGGAAAAGTCCTATACATTCATACTATAAACACTGTTTAAAGTGAAACTGGGATATCTGTCATTGTCATAAAAACATGATTCTTCTCCGGAGTCAAACCACGTGTAACTCCTGTGCCACAATTAACACTATTATAGCCATTTATGGTCCCCAGCACTTTCTAGATGCCATTGGAGCATGTGATGCATTGCAACAATTAAGGCTGTACCAGCACTTTGTTATAACCCCGACTCTCAGGGCAGCCAAGACTTGGCTGTTAAATCTGCTCTGGGAGACTTGAGCTGCTAAATCTCTACTATTTTAGTGATACTTCTCCCACCAAACCAGGCACATCATTGATTTTAGTTTATATATTTACAAATGCTCTTAAGACAAATTTTACTGGAAGAGGCAAGAAATTCTACCTTGATGTATAATCTTTTGGCATTTGGGGCAAAATTAAAGTGCAAAGTATAAACTTCATTGCACAGTAAATAATTTAGATTTTATTTTAAAATAAATCTTATTTAGGTGACTCAATCTATTTACCTAGTGACCTTGTCCAACTCAGCCATTTTCCTCTACACTTTGGCAAACACAGTTTTATATATAGGTACATAAATAGCACTTAAAATGTTTACCTTTATTTCACTACTGTTAACAATTTTTTTCTTTTCGCATAGGAATGGATCAACCTATTCCTAGAAATAATGCTTGTTGATTTTATCAGCTAGCTAGTTAATGTAAAATGATGCATAGTAAAAGGGAGATACTGAACTTGATTGGTAGAATATATTGGTAAAGCAAACAAGCACTTAAGAAGATTAACTGGAATAAATATGTTGAAAGTTGCCATATAATATGTGCAAAATTGCTTACCATGTATTCTAAACTTTGGTTAAAATTTTCAGATTGAAGTTTTACAGAAACATTATGGAAGCAACACAAGTGATTACTAACACAGGAATGAGGTAAGTTATTATTAGTGCAAAAAGCAAGCATATGCTAAAAAGCAAAGCATATGGATTAAAAAAAAAAAAAAGAGAATGAATCTCATGGAAGTTTTAATACAAGACCAGAAAGGTCTCTTGTAAACACCAGTATTTACAAGTTTAAGATTTGTACAACTACAAAAGGATAATTTTAAGTAATAGTAGTGCATTTACAATGGATTTACGTTTTTTGTAATAAGAGCAATGGATAAGTTTATCTTTTTCCTTTTAAATTTTCAGGGGCTATCTTTCAAGATTAAGATATTTGTTACAAATAGTAGAAAAAATCATTTCTTTACAAAAAAAGTATATATTAAAATATTTATACATTTTAAGTTACTATATAATAACTGGAAATTTTTGCCTTGTACTCAGGCACCACAATGAGGAATGTGGTATAGAGAACCAAAACCAAACAGAATTTGCTCATATCCCAAATCTTATGAATTATCTATGCAAGATCTGTAGCAATCCCGGGGACTCTACCTCAAATACTACTACTTGTGCCAATTGTTTTATTCATTTTTGATTTTAAACTCTGTGTTCTTTACATTTTAACTCATCACTAACAAAAGGAGCTGCTGGATAGAGTGTGATCCTCCACCCCACCATCTCTGATATATTTTCTATATGATACTCATACCTGAGCAAGGCTCTACAACATTGATGTGTCAAACGTAAAAAAGGTTATATATTTTTAAGATAAAAACAATGCAAAAATAAAATATTTGTAGCATTTACAAATAGTACAAGAGTTACATTAAACACTACATTCAAAACTTGAGATTTAAGTTGTTTCTACTTTGAGCCTGATGCTTTCATATCTGAAAAACAAAGGAGATATTGTTAAATGCTTCATAATTTCACATTTGAGTGTACACAGTCAAACATTTTCACACAAACACTGTTTCAGAGTTCTAGGTCATGGTCAAAATCCCTGCTAATTAAAGGGTTAAAACAGCATTGAAATACTTAACATCACATCACAGAAGACAACTTCTTCGTTGTCACTCCCCATCTTAGAAAACCACATGTTAGAAACCAAGCAGTGGAGCATTCAACAGGTGGGTCCCAGCCCAGCATGAGGTCAGCTACCCCCACACCACAGTTCCCTGCTGCCCAAAGGGGTTAGCACTCTGCCCTTCCCACCCTCCTCTGTGCCCACAGCACCTCTTGCTCAGCAAAGCCAGCTCCCAACAAAGCTAAGCCAGAAACGGGAAGGAGCAGGATGAGAATCTGGCAAAACTTGAGACCCTAGATTGGCAAGCCAGAACTGACCAGGCTAACACTAATTTTATTTCAGGCGTAAATACTAAAAAATGCCCTGATTACACTGTATGTCATCTACATCACGCACATAACTGGATCACTTATTGGACTGAAAAACTTCTGAGCTGAAGTGAATTCTAGAGAAGTCAGAAGCAACAAAACTAGAATTGCATAAACTCCCATAAGGAACAAACCAACATTTCAAGTGCTGCATTGGTTCTGGAAGAAATGCACAGCTCCTGCTCTGCTCAAAGGCAGTGTGTGACAGTGACTTTACCTTGGAGCCACCGAACCTGCGTGGCCGGGCCATAGCCTCTCTCATTCTTGGCTGAAATCCTGAACACTATGGCAGGCCTGGAGGTGTAATCCACGTGGGCATTGGAAAGCTGGGCAGCAGTCACTATGCAGGAGGTTTTAAGACCACAGTATATCCTCATAAATACAAGCTGATTTGGATTTTCCTGTAATTGCGTGGAACGGATGGCTAAGTAGGCAGAATATTCTAAAATATTTCCAGAGGGTGAAGCAGGAGGCTCCCAAGAAAGATGAATACAGTCTACACTCTGAAGAAAGAGAGAAAAATGTGATAGTATGTAGCTAACCAGAAATACATAAACAATATTAAAAACCTCCAAATTCTAAAGATTATCTGAAAATTCTAACCTATCACCATCACTCTGGAGATAAGGATGTCTTCTGACTTTTTTTTAAAAAGTGTGGCAAAACCCTATAGATTTAATGATGCAAGACTAGAAAATCATGGGGAAACTATCATTAACTCTTAAAATAATTCTTTTTAGCAAATTTCTGAAAGAATATTATATTGAGCAGAGTTGACCAAGTAAGCATTGGACACTATTTTATATGACAATTTTAACTTAAAAATAGGGCCAAGTAGAACCAAGAGTTCTGAGATTACATCAGTGACCATACTTTTACACATCAGAGCCAGGATTACCTATATTTCTCACCTTGGTAATTTTGACAGTTGAAGGAGCTCCAGGAAAACCTGGAATGCATGTCTTGAATTCACTGATTTTACTGAAAGGCCCAACACCACAGCCATTAATTGCAGCAACTCTGAACCTGTATACTGTGCCTGGAAACAGATCCTGTTTCTTAAGTAATCTGTAGTCTGGTACATCTGCACCTTCCGTCTGAAAATAAAGCAACATTTGTGGTAATTTTTAAAATATTATAAACACAATTAGCCTAAAAATATTATAAATACAATTACCCTAGTTAGGTTGAGATATATTAAGTTTAATTGAAGCTGAAATCTATTTAATACTGTTGTACTTGCATCAGAATTTATGAAGAGGTTCTGACTGACCCAGTATCTCACCTCAAAACAGCTGATCTAAGATGCAGTGTGAGACTACATCTCTAGACCAAAAGATATCCCATTTTCTCAGTCATTTAAATTAAACTGCACCTTGTGGTTATTTTTACTTGGGAAAGTTCAAACAAAGTAGCATTTACAACTACGTAAGTTATGATTTATTTGACATAATCTTCTGTTCTAAAAAATATTTTTATTTCAAAAGCAGTTATTCCTAACATTAGGAGCAGCAGTTTGGCAATCAAAATGTTTTTAAGGAAAACCACAGCAAGTAAGTAACAAACAGCTTTCTGAAACATTATGTGCTATCATACTTCCACAAGTAAAATATGCATTGATGCATCACTCATCCTTACAGTGGAACTATCTTCCTACTGAAAAATGTGAAAGAATCACAATCAATGTAAACACTGTACAATGTACTGTGCTCTTTAAAACTAAGACATAGACTATTTATAGTGAAGTGCTTTCAAAGAAAGGTTTCTGATATTTTGTTTCTGTGTCAAGAAGACACAATTTTTGTTTCTAATTAATTAGGATATTACCAATTTGCACTTTTACCATCAAAACTTTTGCACTTTTGCAAGTTTCACACTCTTAAGTTTCATGTATCCACTTACATATACCAAATATTAAGTCAGAACAATCTAATACAAAAGCCACTACAGCTCCAGATTCAGTATTTTTAGATAGCTTAGCCTGTGTCTTACTAGTATCTTTAACAACTTTTATGCAAAGATTCTGGGAACAGAGAAGAAACTGAAAATTTCAGTGCTGGACTGAAATAAAATATTAAGAAACTGTGGGGTTTTCAGTTTTTAAGAATTTTACTGGCTTGAAGAATTATTAGTTTAAAATTGTTTTCTAAGGCAAGAAATAAGAAAATAATTAGCAATAGCAAAATAAGGTATTTTGTATTACCACACATAAACAAAAAAAGAAAATTCATCTGGTTTAGGAACTAGTAAAAAAGAGGTGAGAAAAATACATGAGGAACTACTGGTCATAAAATACAAAACTCCTACAAGCACCAGATTCTGCTGCAATATCAGAAAATCCCACATTTTGTTGTGAGCTATATAAGCAACAGACTCTTAAATAGGAATGTGCAAGTTACATCAGAGAAGCAGCAGCTACCTTGCTGTTGATGTTCAGTGTTTCCTCTGGCAGCAAGTAGAACTGGCTCACCACAGCAGTGTTGTTCTTAAAAATTCCCACATCATACCACCGGCGGTCCCTGGTTTTCACCGGCGGCCTCTGGGCAGCTCTCTAGTGTTTGAAGAACACGTCATGTAGATTACCCACACGTGAATGCCATGGAAAAAAGTGTCAAGGCTCTAGTATATGTAAGAGACAACCCCCTTTTACACCAGTGTTACTTTCTTATGCTTCAAAGGAATATGCATATATTATTAAAATACTGTGCAAAACCAACTGGTTCTTATACATTTACTCAGACACAGTCTGTCATTTAAAAGCAACAGCTGGGATGTCACATCTGATATTCTGAATGGGGCAGGGAAGAAGCTTAAAGCTGTAGGTGTCTGTAGCAGCATGTAGTTGTGAGTTAAATTCTCTCAGAGGTCAAGAAGTTTCCCAAGGTGGTCCAACATCAGCAGCTCCCCCTGGGGCTCAGCTGTACCTCAGCCCCACACGTGCTCTTTGTCAGGCACTGTGGAACTCGCCTGCAGCTGAGAACAGCCCTCTGCTATGGCATGGGCTCCTGACTGAAACAGAAACACACACTGGCTTTCTTGCTGGTCTCCAGGCACCAGGAGGGCACTTGCACAGTCAGGTGCCCAGCACAGACAGGCCATGATCCTGCTAGCATGGAAATGGGGCAGGAGCTGCAGCTGCTCTTGGCAAAAGCACCCAACCCTTTGGTAGCAGCTGCTTCTCCCCATCCTTAGTTCCTCGCTTTTGGTGGCAACAGTGGCACCTTGGGTTTGTGTATTAAGTTGTAAGCAGGTGAAATAGGAAGCATTTACTTTTTCAGGCAGTATTTACAGCTTGCATAGTCAGTCCCCATCTCCTCTAGGGAAAAACATCAAGATGTCAGTTAAGTTACGTTTCAAATCTATAGAATCAGCAGCTAACACTAGTCTGATCTAATACATACTTCATTTTAAATTCAGTTGTGCATATAGAAAAACTTTTTACATTTGCACATCATGCAGCAGAGACCATTCCACTGTGCCAGTTGATAAAAACAATTCAACAGCTGAAACATGTACTTGGATCTCCTCCCAACTACACAACTGCTACTTAGACTCACATCTAACCCACACAATGCAATTAGTTTTACAACAGAAATGTTTACCCCTGTATTATTAACTCCAAGCTCAAAATAAACACTGCTTTTCTTTCAAAAATACAATTAAAGAAAAACAAAAGAGCCCTTACAACTAATCAACAGAACAATAGGTAAAGCAATTTGATAATACTTTTTCAGACTTACAGAAGAGTGCGAATCATTTGTCTGTCCAGTATTGACCCTTGTTGAAGGCATGACATAAGCAGTTTCAGCAGCTAAAAACAAAACATTAAATTTTAAGAATGTAAGCAAAAATTTAAGAAAAAAATTAAGACAAAACCCACAGAGTATGAAAGTTGACCTCAACAGCCATTTACAAGTATTCGTTGCACAAGAATGTCTCAGACTTCTTTTGCATGCAGTTCTATTTATAACACAAACTAATTTTGGCTTCTATAAAATTCACAGAATAATTCTGAGAGTCTTGCATTGGAGCCTGCTACAGATAATACAAACAGAAGGCAGGACTCAGAAAATCCTAAAAAGTGACAGTATTATGAAATCGATATAAAATATTTGTGAACAAATAATCTAAATACCAGATTGAGGCACATACTGGGGACATTGAATAGTCTAAGCGTGAATTCTTAATTTGATTGCATTGTTTCTGACATCAATACAGTCTGCATTCTGAACATAAGCAGTTAAACTGTAAACAACCTTAACAAATGGGAACAGAGCATTCATTAAATTTAAAATGGAATCTTAAAAGAAAAAAAGAGATTAAGCACATGAATAACACATGGGAGTATTAGTATTCTATGCTTGTGTTCCTGGGTTTTGCTTTTAAAATACAATATTGATTGGTAAAAATCACACTATACACACAACATCAATATGAGAATACAGTTCCTTAGTTAACACTCAAAACAATAGCAAGCACAGCCTGTTGATATTTGTCAAAAACAAAACTTGAAAAACTACCAGTTTATGTTCTGCATTGCTGCTTATTTTGGGTATTTCCAGCAGACTGTGAAGAGGCCAGCACATTAGACCAGCAGTGAGCTGGCCACATTAACTGGCCATATTTATTACAGAGGTCAGTTGTTTAAAATCCAAATCATCCAAGGTTACTATTTTAGACTTCTGCTGACTAAATAGACAAGCACTGAATGAAAGCACATGTGCATTGAGCAGCAAAACAGGCTACCACTGATATTTTAGAAAATGGACCTCTGCACAAATGAAGATTTTTCACTTACAGGAAACATGGTGATTTACAAATGCATAGAAGGAATAACCTGATTTTAAAATCCTAGCAGAGATCATCCAGGCTGCACAAGGTCTTCAATGCCCAAAGCCCTATCTACAACCCAGGTACTACGCAATAAGGGAATCCCACCACACTAGAGGAACTCTGATGGCCTTAGAAATATATGGCTCAAAATACAGTATGTGAAACACATTTCAAACCTTCAGATTTTGAATTGAATGTTGTTAGTGAAGTTTCATCTTTAACAACAGCCCCATTTGTACTTGATGATTCAGTTTTAACAGCCTGCTGGGTTACCATAGTTTGTGCGCTGGAGACAGTACTGGATACAGAAGCATCAGGATTTACACTTTGTTTGTCCAAGGCATGTAATTCACCTACATTTGCTGATGTCTGAGCACCTTAAAAAAGAAGAAAATATTAGCAAGAATTCAATATTGGTAACATACCAAATCTCAACTTGGTCTAAAATGAATTTAGTTTCATACAAAACCTGAGTTTAGCTCAGAATTATGTTAGAACAGATCTGATTATATTGATAGCTAATGCTTACTTCAGGTTTCTAACTGAACAGGAGTCTGTCTCCACATTCATAAAGAGGTGTATGTAAACAGTTATTTTAAGCTTGCTGTTTTTCATGTATTTGGTCACAAAAAAATAATTTGGGGAAAAAACCCTACTAAAATAAAGCATCCACACAAATCAGTATCACAGATTTGTAACAATCAATTTAAGATTAACCCCTGTAGAAGTCTGTTTGTCACTTAGCAATAAGAACCAAAATTTTTACATCTAATTAAATTACACAGTGAAGAAAATAAAAATCCAACTATCTATAAAATACATTGAGATCAAATATAAACAGATCAGGTGATTAAGCCTGGATTCACTACACTGAACTTAAGGCACTTCAGTGAAATGCATAAATCAGAGCCTTGTCATCTTTTACTTCCTCTACAGAGGAAGAGAGAAACATGCTTGTCTCAACACTGCCTGAAATTTTACATCAGCCAATAGCTTTTCACTGCTAACAGACAGACACTGCATCAGTCTGGAGTTACTATCACCATAATGTTGTAAAATGTCATCTGTCCCTTTTTACTTCATGCTAAAAATGGCTATTTTTGTTTAAATAGACAGATTTTCCATCATAATAATGAATATATTGAGAATTTCATGTACCTTACAACACTTCAAACAAGTTAAGATTTCAATTTTCTTTGTATCTTCTAAAAATGCGTTCGGTAATAACTAACACAAGTTAGCTTTTTTAAACTACAAAGGACCGTTAAATAATTTTAAACTACAGGAGAGAACAATCTTATTTTATGTTTTTGAGATGAATTTTAACTCTCACTTTTTTTTTCCCTCTATTTTTTTTTTCTATAGTCATCTTACTTGAAGTACAAACAGGCAAAACGGAAGGGGCATTTGATTCTTTGAATCCTGTAGCATCTGTGTGGTTTTTCAGAGTCTCCTGTGTAACCTTGTTTTCAGGTGCTGCAACCTTTTCTTTTCCTTCTGCTTTTGAACTGGATGAAAGGGCAACTTGGACCTAACCAAAACAACACATTCGTTAATGTTAAACTGCAAAGTTCAGAAATTTCAATTGCAAACATGGCATGAAAATATTTGCTCAAAAACAACAATATAAACTCCTCCAACAATTCCTCCTGGTACTTTAAAGTAGACCAGGAAATCAATCTTTCAATCCTTTCTTTAGTCATTATAAAACAGACTCAAACATTGAGTTGACTTAGAAGAGTCATACTAAATTTTATCACTACATGGCATTTCATTGCTGTGTATATTTAGTGTACTGGGGGGACTTTGGGTGATGGGGAAAATCATACTTACAGGGGCTTCCAACCTTTGCTTTCCTGACGTGTACTTGAGATATTTCTACTCTTAGTGAAATTTATGGTATTTCTACATGTGTTTCCTTCAGGAACACATTATGGATCCCATACAGATTTCAGACTTTACACAACTAAGAAATGGTCCAAAGTGCTAAAAATGGGATCCTTTAGCCCGAGTTTGTCCTCACTACTTCTGTTAAATTGGTGAAACAGAGGAACATGTACAACTGCACACCAGAGATAATAACTGGATTTAACCTACTTTAGGAACTTACAAATAAGCAGACTAGCATAAGACTAAATTAGACTAACAAAGAAGGAATATGCCTTATTCTTTTTGCTTCCCACATTAATGACACCAACATTCTGAACATGAATAGTATTCCAGTTGGTGTCAGGCTCCCAGTTGGCATTGTGGAAGACAATACAGTTACAATTCCCTCCTGCATTAACAGGAAGAGGACTTGAAAGATTGTGTCTCCATCAGAAAATGAAAAAGTACATAAGAAAACAGACAACTACTTCAGCAGGTGTCTGTCTTTTTGTTTGAGTTTTTTTTTTTTCTAAGACCTAAAAAGTATGCAGGGAGTTTTAAAATGGAGAAATGTTCTGGCAGTTCACTACCTTGCCACACTGTTTTGACACTGCAGCATCTTTCAGCTTACACTTACGTTATTAGGAATGAGATTATTTGCTTGGCTGGGATGATCCACCTTCATTTCTGGATAAGGGACACTAGACAATGATTGTGGACTCTGATGGAGAGAACAGCCACCTTGCAAGTAAACAAAAGCAAATTCCCATCAGTTATGTAATACTGTGATGGTTTTAACCTATTTCATTAAGAAAGAGGGAGGCCAAAGTTGCCTGAAGGAAAACTTTGTTGTAAGTCTGGAATGAAACTGCATGGCCAAGCAGACAGATAAAACCCCCCCACACTGTTTCCGTTCTCAATTTGTGCCCAGCATTCTGCAAATATCTTCATAATTCAGATAGCTGGCCAAAACCAACAGAAACAAGTGGAAAGGGAGTTTTCCATAATTATGATGCAGGCATTTGGAGAATAACCAAAGAAACAGGGTTTCTTTCTCTCACAGAATTGTTCTTTAAAAAACGAACTCATATTTATTAGTTATGCAACCCTCCAGTCTGTCTTTGCACAAACATTAGTGTAATGTGATCTGACTGCTACCTTGTGAACTCAGCACTGCTGTCTCAGGAACGCCAGTACCAGGAATTCCAGCCACCGGTGGCACTGGTGAGTCAGCATGTAATTGAAGAAGATATCCTTCAACTGTAGGTACTTCATCCCACTTCAATTGAAAAGAGTTGGTTGTAGCTCTGATCAGCTGTACCTGTGATGGTGCTAGAGGTCTCTCTACAGGCAACCAATAAAACACAGATGGCACGTTAGAAATTGCCCTCCCTTACCAGTTTATTAAATAGCTGCATATTGCAAGTAAAATCAGTCACTCCTTTTTCACTGAGGTACAATATACCAGATTCAACAAGAAACAACTGCCAAAGGGGGCAAGTTAAGTCAGAGAATTACAGTGTCTTTTCAAAGTGTTCAAAAATGCTCCAGTTTTGATGCTTTGTTTTTAATGGTTCTTCTGCTTCCAGTAGGTCTTTGGGTGGTAGCTACGTCACCGTAGGGATTACAGAGACAGGAGATCCTTGTGCTTTCCTGAAATGCTACAGGTAGCTCTTTGGCACCTAAAGCTTTACATATTCCTCTAACTCACAATTATTCCTCTTCCTTTTTGCTTGCTCTGTGTAGCTGAAGTGAGCTTTTGCTCTAACTTCTGCCCAGGCTGAAGCCTGGACATGATTAATGTCAATGGCTTGCTCTTCTCACGTGCCTCTATGCTTGACCAGGCTGCAATCTTAAGCACACCCTTTCCCTGCTACTCCTTTTCATTTTCTGAGGGAAAACTGAAACAGGGGAAAAAAAAGTTGTATTCTAATTCCCTCTCTCCCAATACCATTTCAGTGTCCTGCTATCAATGCAGCTACTAATGAGTGCTTAGTCTCCAGAATTCCCTTCATCCCTAGGAACAATTTGGTCCTTTCTTAGATAGAAGAGTATCTTTTTGCAGTCCAAGAGATGAGGAAGCAGAACCAGCAGCAATGATCCCAACAGTAGAAGGGATCTGGTGCAAAAACTACGTAGTAGCAGAAAAGATCACTACAAAGAGAGGACAGGAACCCAGAGTTTAGGCAAAGCAGCCTTTAGCATCTTGTATCAACTGACTATGGCACGCAGAGCACAATTTAGCACAAAGTTCTTTCAGAGGCTTTAAACAAGCCCTCCTAATTTTTTTCATTTTAAGTAATAGCCTTTAAACAACCAGCAGTGAAGCATAATTCAAAAACAATTTTTAAAATGTAAATACTTTTTGAGTTCACTTCAGCTTTAATGTTCTAATCATCAATCATACAAGCTTTCCATATGGTAATGAAACACAGAACATCGTAGAAGTCTCTTATTTATTTCTGACTCACCAGTATCAAGGTACCAAAGATCTTTGCAGCAAACTTGATTGTTCCAAGCTTTTCTGTAGCCATCTCTACCACTCCAGATATACAGACGAGTGCCAACAGCTACAGCACAGTGTCCTGCTCTTGGCCCTGGTAACAAGTTACTTTTGTCTTCCTGGCAATCTGAGATCAGACCTATCCATTCTGTGGTATCTAGTAAATGAAACTCAAAGCATTTAGTTTCTAGATGTTTTCCACAACAATAAATAAAGATGTTAACACACTTAACTGCACAGAAAAAAAAAAAAAATCACCTCTCTTTTTATAGACAACTGCACTTAAAATGGAAATATTATGAAGAGAAGGTCACTTTCCAATTAGCATGCAAGATAAAATCAATTCATACAGGCTGAATTTTCTGACCTCTGGTTCTCTCTCTCAGGTAAATAGATCAGAAGTTGAGAATTCAGGGATAGTACTACCATGCTTAGAAAAACCTCATTTCAGAATCTGTTTCCTGTGTTCTTCTACAAATGAAAAAGGAGCATTTACATTACTTAACCTTAAAGTTGTATTAACAAAGATTAGAAGAAGCAAACCTGCTGAATCTTCCAAAAAAAAAAAAACACTAAAAAATTACTTTTCAAGTAACATGCAAAAAAACTGGCAATTTCTTTAGTCAGCTAGGATTACAACTATTTATCCTAAACTTTACTCAAGGTCTTCAAAATAGTGTACTCTACTCTATTAAGAAAATACTAATTCAAAACATGCAGAAACACTAACCCAAATTAAGGTAAGAAAAGGAACCGGTGCATTTCCATTCACCATCAGGAGCAGAAATTTCACCTCCTGCTGACTGTGGAACCCATCCACCAAAAACATACATTCTGAAATACAGGAAAAGAGGGAAGAGGGAAAAAGAAAAGAAACACCAATTAACACCTAGATGTGCTGCATGTGCTCTCTCAAACTAAGACAAAAAAGAAAATTTCCAGTGTGTTACAGTTTCGGTTCACAGCAAATTTTATTTGTATCTACTGTCTTTATGAAGTACTGTTGCAGACTTCTACTTTCTGAAATTTTTGAGTAAACTGACTGATCGAAAAGCTCAACCACAGAAAAAAGTCCCGGAAATTCCTCAACTTCCTAGAAACAGCAGTTAATACTGTAACATTTATCAAACCATCAAACTGCTAATGCTCTCCAAAAATCCCACATGTACAACAGAATTGCTACAATTCTTTACTGCAGAGCCCTCAGTAATTCATGCTAAAATAAGATGACTGGCATCTAACTCAGATGTCAAAATTTAAAAATGTAACGCAGGCTTCAAACAACTAACATTTTAAGTAAATAATAAAAAGCTAAGCTGTCGGATCAGAAGATATAAAGCTTTCATACTTCTTTACTGCCTTGCCTCTTTGTCCTCATGCCAGCTTGTAAATTGATACAAAATGGACTGAAATCCATGTTTAAAAATCCATTTTATCAATGCTACCTGCCAAAACAAACCATACTGGCAAGAAGCAGTGTAATGAGGGTCAGACTGCAGAAAAAGTGGGGAATAGTTTTGCCTGGAATTAGTTTTACCCTTTGATCAGTTTCTTTGCATAGCTACCTCATCTGTGTCACACACACAGAGGCACTGAAGCTCACTCCTGACAGAGCTCAGGCTCAGTTGAGGCTGCCCCAGAATGCACCGAGGTGCTCCAAGAAGCCCAGAAAGGTGCTGGTGGCTTGGGCAGATTGTCCTGCTGGATGAAAATACTGGCAGCTTGCTACCCTAGAGTTAACAGTGGCATTGAAATAGCAGCAGAAAACTATTCTACAGGCTGCTGTTTATACTGAGCAGTAGTGGATAAGCATCATCATTCTCCTACTAGGTGTACCTTTCTAGAGTTGAGCTTTTAACAACAGACATACTTGTTTCCTATTACATTGGCCGTATGGAGACTGCGAGGAAGTGGTACTGTCCCTTTGGTTTCTGGTCTTGACCAGGTCATGGTTTCTAAAAGAAAGAAAATAAAATCCTCAAACAACAAAAAATATATCTTGTTGCTACATATTTCACTATCTGGATTTTAGGAGGGAACACACCTCTAATATTCAGCAAAGCTAAATTTCACCTTTATAAAATGGCGACTTTTAGAAAAAGGGTGCAATAACAAGCACTTGGAAGTTCTTTAAAAAAAATCACAGGAAATACTGACAAACTAAGTGTTTGTCAAAAACATAAATTATGGTTTCTTTATGGTTAGTCAGCTTTGTTTCTTTAGAGTGCTTTAAAGACTATGATACCTGTTTCATAGAGTACCTATAATTAGTGAGGATAATATATGCAAACAATACTGTATCTATTTAATTCCAAATATTACAAAAGGTTAACACCATGGTGTCAGTCTCAGTAATATCTGCATGACAGCATGCCATTAACCTTTCTATATTGTAATACTTCCCCCGTCAGCCAGTAAGCACTGACTTCTGCTGGCAAGCCAACTCACCTATGTCAAGTTCCCAGAGATCATTAAGCCGACAGCCACACATGCCTCCAAAAATATACATCTTCGGGCTTCCCACATCTTTTCTGCAGTACACTATGGCTGTGTGAGATTCTCGGGGAGATGGCAAGGTTCCTTTGGTAACAGGAATACTCCAGCCGACCACGCCAGACCCATGTTGCAGCTCCAGTTCATAGAAATCATTTAAATATCTAGAGTATTATTGTCAAAGTATGAAAAACTCACTTATAAGCATGACGACATACGTACTTTAAACCCTGACCCCTTCCAGGTATTATAGACTTCTGTCTTGGGAGGGTGCAGAGTTTTAAACTCTCAAAACATTTGATGTATTGTGGGCAGTACCAATTCTGGATTTAAAAGGGATTTCAAACAAAAAAAAATTAACAGTTATAACTTGTTACCTCTGAGAAAACATGCTCTCTTATTTGCTACACTGGATTACATGAAAGAAACATGAAAACAACACTTCTTGCAAACATTGCTACATACAGACACACAAACTGCACAGCTGTGGGAAATACATGATGACAAGAGGTATTAGAGAGAAATTTCTGCAACTCTTAAGGCAACCAAGGTGACAAGAAGCTGTTTGTTTCCTTGTGTCTTTAGGCTGGCCAATGCACAATTAGCCATTTGTTGCTGAATCTATAAGCAAGTTATTTTTAGATAATGGTCTTTGAATCTTGGCATTCACACCAGATACCTTTTGTTTACTGAGCTTGAAATTGCCAGTTTATAGTTCAGTGGCTATAAGTGCTCTGAACTGCAGGTGAATGTGGATATAAAACTTCAGCATTATAGCACAGTTTGCTGACAATAACGGCAACTTCACCTGTTATTGTAAAAAATTTCCAGATGAATTGATAACTGTTTTTCACAGCAATACAGAAAAAACATCCATCATGAATTCCATGATGACTCATGAGACTCTGCTGATTGAAGTAATTCCAACAAACAAGCCATTCTTGAAAACACCACCCAAAATACCAAGAGAAATACAAAAGCCTACTCAGGTTTCCCTACAAAACTGTCAGAGCTGTCACTCAATGTTCCATATTGTGGGATTAGCAGAAGGAATACCTCATCTTCTTCACCATGTAACCTCTTCACTGCACAAATAATCCAACTTTGAGCACATGGTGTGCAGGACAGCCTGCCTAGAATGTTCCTTTTCAAAGCTGTCAAATCAAGTAATTTGTTTATAAGTCATTAAAAACAAAGACAAATAAGCATACCTGGGAACATTATTATTTGAATCTTCACTTTCATTTGCCAGGCCACCAAATAAATAGCACTTGTTACCATACAAAGAAAAGCTGTGGCCAAGCCGAGGACAGGGTGGTGATCCATTTGAAGGAGCTTGAGGTTTTACTTTTTTCCAGAGCCATCGACTTGCCTTGAAGACAAGAAAAAATTATTTAGAAATAATTTCATTGATAGTCTGTCATATCAAATAGAATTCATATAATATTAACATTTGTATATTTTCTGAATTACTTTTAAGGGAATGCTGAGCTTTGCTTAGGACATTCATTAAAAGGGATATGTAAGAGCTAACCTTAATAAAATATTAAATATATTATACTGTATTTAGACTAGGTGAAAGTCTCTATTTCAAAGTTATTTAGAATAAACTTCAGATTCTTAAGATGAAAAAAATCTTCTGAAGAGGAGCAAAGATCATCTAACTTTTCTCTGCAGTTGGTAAAATAAAATGTGTTTCTTCATAAATAGATAAATAAAGTAGTCCTGAAAATCAAAACACATTCATATATCTCCTACCTGCAATTCATATAAATCATTGCTGTATCTTCCATATTCAACCATTCCTCCAAAAACTAATATTCTGGTACCATCACAAACAAATCCATGTGCTGCACAGCCTGGAGGAATATCTCCCCTTACAGCAGGAAGGAACCATTGATTCGTAACTATAGTAGGAAATAAAAAAACAAAAACCAGGAAAATAGATTAGAAAAAATATTTCAAACACTGAAACATGTATTTTTAAACACCTTTGCTTTCTAAAGAATTACCTTTGCAGATAACAATGACTATTTGCTTCACACTAAGTTTTAAATGAATTCTTATTTTCTTTAATAACAAGAAAAGCAAACACTTCTATCAAACCAATATTACTCAGTATATGAATGAGCCCATGAGGTCACTGTAACTAAGTCAGTCATGAAGGGTCATCCAGCAATTTAATAGACTTGCCAAGAATAGAGGCTAATAAGGAACACAAGTGCAGTTCCACACAAAAGAGATAACCACGCTAACTCAGAGGGAGCTAGCCCTAGAAACAGAATTATTAGAGCTACAGCAGCATGGCACGGTGCCTGGACTTAATAGCCCTATTCAAAAACTAATTACACTGTTCTGGGACCCATTTTAATATCCACAGAGTGGGAGGGGAGAGGCACAGAGTCAAGAAAAAGCAACTGAGACTGTTTGATCCAGCAGCATAGTGATGCCTAAACTGTTCTGGAATTTAAGAATTACAGGGGACAATGTCTTAGTTTTCCTACACTTTTGTACGAGTACAAAGAGGAGAAGTAGGAAATTAGAAGCTTCCAGTGAGAGTTGCTGCAGGGGATTACGATGCTCTCACTGTGTGCCAGCTCCTCGAAAATCATCACATGCATAGCAAGGGTCATGGATGACATCCCACACTCGGACAGCAAAGGTCATAACCCTGCATCTTAAACCCCAGAATAAAATAGGTCAGTTTGGGCCAAGCACTCATCCAGAAACTGGAACAACTAAGTCACGATGCGTTTTGTCACTGCTGCAAAGGGAAACAACTTAAGCAGAAAGTCTGGGAAGAAAAAAACCAAGTCACGATAAGATTCACTCAAAAGGAACCTGTCAGAACCTCTGTTCTGATGGCATAACTATGTTAAGAGTTTTCTTTGGATTACTTGTCAGAACAGAAAGGTTAAGAGATTCTTTTTCCTTCTCCCCTCAGAAATGTGATTTAAGCATAGTAAATCTTTAAGCTATCCAAGAAAAATCCGCCCTGAAAAATCTCAATCAGCCAACACTGTCTGAGAAGCACAGATCAGTCACTGAACTCCCCCGTCTCGCCCCAAGCCCTGAAATTACACGCAAGTTTTCCAGCTCCATCTAGCATTCCGTACAGTAACTATTTAGTCGTCTGATCTTTCACAAATAAAATCGGTCTGAAAATCTGTTTGGAAAGGCTCCCGATGCCAACATGTTGGCTTTTCCAAACAAGCTTCCCATTCCAGCGCCCTCGCCTCTCGTGAGCGGCCGCCACCAGAGGGAAGGCGGGGATCCGGACACTCGCAGGGACTAATCCCGCCCGCCGCCATTCAGCCGCGACCCGCCGGGGAAGAGGCTCCGCCGCCCTGCGCGACAGCCGGGACAGCACAGCAGCCGCGACACGCACCGGGCGGTGCTCCGGGCGCTGCTCCCAGCAAGGAGCACCGAGCCCGCAGCAGCACCACCCCGGGGAAGACCCCCGGCCCAGGCGTATTTCCCGCCCCGCCATTTCGGCTCCGGGCAGTCCCTCAGCCCGCCCGCCGCCCCTCGGCCGAGCCCCCCGCGGGCAGTGCCGCGGGAGGGCGGGAGGCCCGGGGGGATCCCCGACGCCGTGCGGAGCCCGGTGCCGGCGGCGGTCGCAGACGGGACAGCCCCGCCGCTGTCCCCCCCGCCCCGCCCGCCCCGCGGCGCGGCCCCGCCCCGCGCACCCGTGTTGTAGACGTGCAGCTCGTCGGCGATGCCCTCGTTGCCGCCGCCGAAGATGATGAGCAGCTCTCGGATGGCGACCGCGCGGTGCCCGTGGCGGGAGCGCGGCACCGGCCCCGTGAAGGAGGACACCCGCCTCCAGCTCAGCCCGGCGGCGCCCGCCGCCATCTCAGCGCCGCTCCCACAACGCACCGCGCGGCCGGGGCAGCCCGCCGGGGAAGGGGGAGCGCTGACGTGAGGGCGGCGGGTCCGTGTCCCGCCCGTGTCCCGCCCCGCGGCCGCCTCCGCCGCAGCCCCGGCTCGGCACGGCCCCCTCCGCTCCCGCGGCGCCCCGGGCCCGGCCGCGCTCCGGGAGAGCCCTGTGGGGGACTCCGTGCCTGCGGCGCACTCCGCCCGAGGGGCGCTCGGCACCGCGGGGGCGGCGTGGGCTCCTCTGCTGGGGGCACCCGCTCTGCCGCCGAGCCTCAGAACGAGTAGCACATTCCCCCCCCTTTTTTTTTTTTTTTTTTTTTTTAACTGGCTGTCGGTAGGCGAGGCAATGCTGCTGCCTGCGATGCGTGCGGCGAGAAAGAAATGAGTTGCTGTTTAAACACTGAAGGTTGAGATTAGCAAGCGAGGTTTCGGTTCTACAGCTGGCAGCTGTAGAAACGGGGTGATCTGAGTGAATTGGAAGGTTTCGCCCTGCAGGAGAGAAGCTGCTCTTTCCTGTGTGAGGGGGGTGTTGTGTTAGAATATAAACGCGTGAGGCTGAGGGGAAACCAGAAAAAAATGTATCTGGTGCTAAAAGTCTCTTCTCGTTGAGTTCTACAAGGTAAATGATGATGCTGAGACGTGTAATTCAGGCTGGACATTAGGAGGAATTCCTTCATAGGAAAAGGTGATTAGACATTGGAATGGGCTGCCCAGGGATGTGGTGGAGGTGTTTAAGGAAAAACTGGATGTGTCACCTACTGCCATGGTCTGGTTGACAAGGTGGTGCTTGGTTACAGGTTGGACTCGATGCTTTCAGAGTGCTTTTCCAACCTGGTTCTGTGAAGGTGTTACTGCATCGCCAGTAATCCCGAGGGTTCTGCCAAGTGAAGGAGCCAGTCCCAGTCCTGCAGGCTCATATGACTGCATGCTGCTTAGATCTGTTCAGATTCACATAGAAATGGAAGGGAAGGTGAAGAAAGCATGGGTGGGTATGATGAACATGAGCTTAATACAACTTAAATATCATAGCACAGCAAAATACTAATAGTTGTGGCCATCTGCACAAAGCACATAACTGAATGTATAACTCTTTTAAAAATTTTTTGTTCAAGCAAAAGATGGATTCCTGTACAAAATCAGACATAGATAGTACAGTTTGGGCATGTTTGAGGCACATAGTTGAAATCCCACATTTTTGGCTCCTGCAATGGAACAACAATCTTAATTTAAAACAATTAAGATTTTTAAGACTGTTATTGACTACTACTCATAAATCTGGCACTGCTTCATGATAAAAATACGAAAAATAGTTTAGAGTTTAATGCTGGCGTTTAAGATGTTTATTTTTATTCCTTTTAGTACTCGTGAAAGCCTTGTGACAAAACAGTGGTTTAGAAACATTTAGACAGTTCATTCCTAGAAGAGAGGGACGGAATTCAAATAAAAGAAGTGCTGTAGAAAGAAAACTGCAAAAGCATTCCAGAAGAGCTTAGGAGGCAGGGTATCACCATGTGCTGGTTACCTTGATCCAAGATCCTTTTGAATCTAAACCAAACCTGTGGATTAAATGCTCAAAGATTAGGAAATGAGATGATTCAAGTCAAAATGCATGTTCAGAGTTGACTTTTGCAAGTTTCCCTTAGCTTTTGACTCTCAAGAGCTCTGCCAACAGACTCTGGAAAAACTTTGGCTTTCTCTTAGACTTTGGCATGTTGCAGTCTGGCTCTTGCACACTAGTTGTCTGTTCACATTTACCATAAATAATGACTAAAAACATAACTTGCAGCTAGATTTTGGAAGTAACTTCTGGAAGGGTTTGTTTCCTTCTCTTTCCCCCACCCCTTTAAGACTTTTTGTCTTATGGGATTTGTTTGCAATCTGCTAGCTGAAGCTCTGAGGCAAGTTTGCCAGATCTGGGGCTGCATCATCCCTCTGCACATCTGGAAGTGGTTTATGCGCTCTCATTCCTCCAGCTCAGCGTCTGGGCTCTGCACTATTCCTCAGCAGCAGAGAAAGGAAAGAAAACCAGCACAACTCCAAAGTAAACTTTGAAGAGTTCGAAAAAGGAATTGAATCATAAAACTGTTACTGTGCCCTGTACGGCCCTTGTGTGGGTGACTTCAAAGGAGGATGGTGGTCAAGGACACTTTGGCAAGAGTGCTTACAGCTGTGGGCTATCTAGGATCCGAGTAAATAGCTCCACAGCACTTCAGGAGAGAAGAGTCCCGAGTACTGTGCTGCTTTGAAGAGGTAAAAAGACTAATTAAGCAGGAAATATCTGAGCAGTAATGTCACTGTTTTTGAGCTTTCCCTTCTGCAGCCCCTCGTTTTGTTACAGGATTTGGCAGCTGAGTTAGGAATTGCCAGGTTCCAGGAAAAAATGTCTACAGTAAAAGAGCAAATATTTGCAGGGGAATAAATATACCTCTTTCCTTAAAAATCAGTAGGTAATCAATTGGTGTTTCAGAGGCTTAGGAATGCTGTAGTTGTAGACCTCAGACTTGTGTGAGAGTCTGTCTTTGGATTTTAAAGTTTAAAACATGGTTCAGTTAATGTGGATTTAATAATTTCTGGAGATAGCATGAAGCTGTGGCTGTGCAGCTTTCATCTTGCAATGATCATCTGGACTGTTTGTGGCTATTGTTACAAAGGCTAATTCAAAGATAATGGGCAGTTCTGTGGAAATCAGGGGAAGATTGTGATCAGCTTAAGTGGGGTTAGAAAATTAGTTCAAGAGTGTAGCAGGTTCTATTGTCTCTCTGCTTACCTAAATGAGTAAAGTTTTTAAGTGTAAAAGAAAGTAATACTTCTGTGTAATGTATGAGAGAAAGGCTTTCTCAGCTGTGGTTTTTTCCGAGAGATAAGCTTGATTTCCTCTGTGTAAATTAATGCCACATGAAGAGAATGGTCTGCTGGAATGTAAATAAGTAGTGCAGATGTGGAAGATCTTCCAGAGTACTCCTTTCTCACTGCAATTTACTCATTAGCTGGGACTTAAATAGATTTGAATATAAGTGGTGTGTAAACAATGCCACATCTTAGATTTTGTATATATATTTTTTGTTGTTGTTGTCATTTAACTTGTTGGTCAATGTAGAGACTAATTTAGTATTCTGCCTGAACTTGAGCACTAACCAATGAGAAGTGGTCAGTTTTGTGACTCAGATTTCAAGAATTCTTGCTGTCTGTCTGATTTGTCAAGGAGCTGGAACAAACTTCATTTTTATGTGTGCACAGATCCCATCTTATATCTTTATCTGTGCTGTAACGTTTCCATATCTATAGATGTGGAAGCAGGAACAATTGTTTTCTATGTAGTATAAAGGTTAGATCACACAGTTGGATTTTTCTCTCCCCTCCAACTTCTGGTGCTGTTTTTTATTGTTGGTTGTTGTTGTTTTGGTTATGTGGTTTGTGTTTTCTTTCATAAACAGTCGTTTTGGATCTAGAATTCAAATGAATGTTGTATTTCTCATAATCCTGTACTTTAGGGATTATATTCTGTCCTCTCAGACATGGCTCCTCTCAGGCCTGGACTAGAAGCACAGTTTTAGGGAAAGCTACCTCCTTTTCTTCGGCATCACAAAAAATGTTCATTAATACAAGCCACACTACACCCTCTGGAAGAATATAGGTGTAAGAAAGTATTTTAACTATTGCTTTGAAATTTTTTGAAAGTCTAGAGTACACTGTCCTGGTATAAGATTCCCATATATTTGGGAATGCATATTCCAGCAAGGCATTAGTATTTGCTATGGTTACTATGTTTGAGGTGAAATCTGAGATAATTATATTTATAAATTGCATTTGTGGATGTTTTAATACTTCTTTGCACAGTATCTTCAAATGTACTAAAAATCACCTACTCATGTAGATGATCAGATAGGATTTATGAAGATGTTTTTCACAACCTATTAGTTGCTTAAATTATTAATAAAAAATATTTCAAACCCATAATATTAGTATTTGTTCAAAAACAAAAAGGTGTTTACAGAGATTAATTGCAGTTTTACCAGTTCTGCAGTAAAATTTGATAATCCAAAACCTAGACCTTTATATAACTAACTAAATTCACTTCAGGCATTAATGATATTTCTCTTTTATTTCTTTTTCTTTTAATTCTTTTTTATTTTAGTTTACAGATTACAGTTACAGATTACAGTTCTCATCCAACAGGACACATGGCTCTTTTAAAGAAAAGTAAGAGAGATTAAAAACATTTGAAAGATGTATTTTTTAAAAGAGGACAGAAGTGTCAAATACAATTTCTTATGCAACTGTTGTCACAGTTGTGCATGAATTTATAGTTCTAGTATTGCTAAATTATGCTTAAATTTAAGTATGCAAATAAGTATTTTCCTGTTAACTGTGTCAGGTAAGTACCACATTAATTTAAAATTACTCACTACTTTACTTCATGAGACTGGAGATTGTGAAATTTCCCACCAATACTGCAAGTAGCTGTTCTTTTCATATGAACTGTGCCCAGGGCACTGAAGCCAAATTTTACAGATGTCTGCACATTAATGCTTTCATACTCAATATTGAGGTGTAGCCCCAAGAATTTAGGGGCTCTTAACAGCTGTAAGAGTCAATGACTGAAAATGGACTTTTACATTTACTTATGTAAATGTAAAAGCCCAAAATGTCCAAGAATTCAATGGGTGTTTTCCTCAGCTGTTTTAAATTAGTGCAGGTTTGGTTTACCAATTTCAATCTAGTCTCATGTCCAGTTGTGCCCAGATGGCCATTTTGATTAAAGTAGATCAAAACTCTGTTCACTTTGCTCTTTTGAACATCTTAAATACATTTTATGGTGGTGCAAAAGTAACAAAGTAGTCTGAAATAAAGAACACCATGTTGATGAGGGCAATGTATTCCTTCCCTCTTGTGCTTGGTGAACTGTCCCAACACCTGCACATGCTTGGTTTGTGTTGAATGATGTAAATTTGTACAAGACAGTCTTCTAGGAATTATGCATCAGAATATACAGTCAGGTCTTTGCCTTGCTTTGATTTTACGGATTTAAATTACCCTGTTGAAGTAAGTATTTTCAAATATTTTGAAACATTCCTGGTTTCAGTAGCATGGTAGGTTTGGTTTTTTAGAATTTTTAGGGTCTTGCTCAGATCCTTCAGGATCTGAACAGTGAAATAGATTAAAAAATTCTCCTGTGTCTGAAGTTTCATCAGGAAAGCATAACAGAATGAAAGAGCTATATAAAAATAATTAACTCATTAAGTGAGTGTAAACAGAAAACAGACTAGCCAGGGAAAAAACCACCAAACTTTCCAAGCTCCTGTAAAAATCAGAAATATGTGAATTTTCTAGGGAATCTTATGATTTAGTGAGAAAATCAACAATGAACATGAAATAGTTCGGGATTACTTTAATAAGGAAGAGTTATTGATGTGTTTCTAATGGAAGATGTTTTGCTTGATCAAATAACATGAGGAAAGCACAACAGATACAGGTTATCAAATTCTTCTATCACCTGTACTGGTTGCAAATTGGAGTTTTTTTCTTAATCAGATACTTGGGAATTAGCTGTTATATTGATTGTTAACACATTCTCCCTCTTGTTTCAGTTAACCAGATCTTACTGTTACTACTTGTCTTAACTGTGTGTGCTATTCTGTATAACAAAGTTCACCAAGTGCCCTTGGCATTGAGAAATGAAACAGGTAAGTGACTCTCACTTCAGTTTCATTTATGTTCCTGTTTTGTATTCCTCATGTCTTAACTTGAACAGCACTTTTCACCTTACTGAATGTCCTACAGTAGATGAGCTACTCTCACTGGTGCATATAGTCTGGGATGAAAAGCATTTTGCTTCTGAATTACTTGAATAAAATTATAGGAGATTGATAGTGATGACTAAGGGTTGTAATTCTGATTAAGTTTTTATCCAGATGTCACTGATGTAGATGGATGCTAGAGTATATCCTTACTTGAGCTGAACAGATTGGAGTTGTCAAGTGGTAATAAACTTTGATCACAACCTGCCTCCTTGGGAATGTTCTTGGCTTGATTGTTCATTTCAGATAGACCATCAAATCTTCATATTTACAGCAGAAGTTTTAGCTGGAATTTTTGTAGTGACAGAAACCTGCTATGGTTAATAAGGTAGAACTAGTATTAAATGTCTATATAAATAGCCTACTCACTGCTACCAAGGTGAACAAACTCCGCCTTGATATAAATAATTTATTTTCAGTATATTTTTGTTGGGGTTTTTATGACTGTAATTGTTATGTTTTAACCATATATTTATATCTGTTTAAATTCTGTAAGTTAATCTGTACTAATCAGGGATAGAAATCTTTAGCAGGAGTGTGACCTGATTCAGTGTAGTTCAGGATTTTTTTTCCCTTCAATCATAGGAACTTCCTGCTGATATAAATTTTTGCACTCTTCTTTTCAAGCCAGCTTACCAAAGAAGTGGAGCTCATGCAATTGCACTGTCTCTTTGACTTACCTCCTTCCTTTGATAATTTTGGAATGTATTGTGCAATTTGTACTAAATATAACTGAGAAGTAGAAGTCTCAAAGGTGTTCAAGCCTCTCCAGATTTCATATGAATCAGCAGCTTCATGAAGGACACGCTGAATTGTGCCCCTGCTGAATAGAAGATATTGAGAACTCTCTTATTTATGCTGTTTGGAGGCATCCAAGGGTCCAGTCAACCTGCAAGTGGTTCTGGATTAGCAACAGCTCAAACTGTGTGCCTTGCGAGATGGAGATGTGTGTAGAACGTAGTAAGGAAAATTGGAGTGCTGATAAAATGATTCCGCTGCTTATGGTAGTTCTTACTCATTTTTGTGACCCCAGGTCTGATGTAAAATGGGTTTGTTCCTTGTAGTGGATTTGGAGAGCCCGGGGGAAGTGGAGGAAGAAATCCCAGTGGTGATCTGCGCTGCTGCGGGCAGGATGGGCGCGGCTGTGGCAGCCATCAGCAGCATCTACAGCAATACAGAGGCCAATGTTTTGTTCTACATCATCGGGCTGAAGACAACCATCCCACACATTCGGTACACGCCAGCCTTGCTTTGTTCTGGGCTGTAGTTAGAGCCACGTTGTTGTTTCCCCTAGCACAGGCATAACCACTTCTGGACTTCAGATGACTTCTCAGGGAAATGTAGTGGTGTTGGGAACAAACCCCAGGCTTTTGTACATGATGTCGTCCACAAGGCACTGACTCCTGCAAAGGGGTGTGAGATAGCCAGGCCGTGCCATACCCATTCTTAGGGTTTTGTAGATAGGCTGCAGAAGAGTCTGTAGTAAGGTGAGGATACACTGCCTGCTTGTCACAATCCTACTTTGTGGCACTGCACTTACCTCTCTTCTGTGCTGGGTCTTCAGCTTCAGAGTAGAAAAATCTTGCTGTTTAAAGCTAATTTCAGTTGACAATGTATTAAATTTATAAAAAGAGGCTCAAAAGATATTGTGATGACTTTTCTTTCTTTCCATTTCACTTCATTCCTTAATTTCTTATTTCATTATTTCATTTCATATTATGAAATGAGAATCCTTCATTTCATGACAGGAAATGAAATCTCAGGATTTCAATGAATATTCATCTCATTACATTTCAGTTCCTTTCACAGCACTTCATTCCATTAAATTTAATTGTTTTCATTTCAGAAGTTTCTTCTTCTCAGTTTCACTGCGTTGTATTTTCCTTTCCTTTCTATCCTTTTTGCTTTAATCCTTCATTTATCATTTTATTTCTCTTCCTGAAATGAAAATTCCTCATTCATGAAAAGGAAATGAAATCTCAAGATTTCAATGAATATAATTTCTTGAGGTTTCATCTCAGTTCAATGCACTTAATTTCATTCTAGTCCCTTTCTCTTGTTTCACTTCATTACATAGTTTTATCTTTTTTTTCATTTCATTTTGTCTCATGTCTCTTCATTTCACTTCATTCCTTCATTTGTTATTTAATTTCCTTTCATGAAATGAGAATTCTTAATTTCATGAAAGGAAATGATATCCTGATATTTCAATGAATGTAATTTCATGAATATTCAATTCATTATAGTTCAGTGTTCAAATTTGCAAACATTGTCTTGAAGAGGACCAAATTGTGAATGCAAACTAAAACATTTCTTAGCTGTTCTCACCTCTGGCCACTTCACTTCTGTAGCCTTTGTACCTGCAATTTGTGTCAGGAGAGAAAATAAACAGCTGTGATAAGAAATCTGACAAAAGTGTGAAAAGAAAATCAGCTTAGTCTAAAGAAAACATAATTAGGAGGTGATGTAGAAGTCATCTGGAAGAGTATAAAGCTTTGAAAGGGAGAAGACTAACCTCAGATTTAAAAGCACTGTAGATAGAGTAAGAAATAATAATATTTGATTATAGCAAGAAAACTTAGAATATAGTTTATTGGAAGTAATGGTGAAAGATTAGTTGTTTGGGCTACACACGGAGTCTCTGGTTTTGTGAGTGGTGCTGTGTGTTTGTTTTACTGAGGTTTTGTGAGGGAATTTTTGTATTTTAGGAATAAGTTTAACAAAGGTCTGTGTACAATAGCTGTAGACATAAGTGGTTCTGTCTTGGGATAGAATAGATCAACTGAGCTTTCAATGTCTCTTATTATTCTCCTAAGTGTCTGTGAATTTCATGCTGGAAGTACTTGCCACACACTTGATATTTCTTTTATCACTTCTTTTCTTTCCATCACAGAAAATGGATTGAAAATTCTAAACTGAAAGAAATAAAATTTAAGATAGTGGAATTCAATCCTATGGTACTAAAAGGAAAAATCAGACAAGATGCATCACGTCCTGAGCTACTGCAGCCTGTGAGTCAATTAAGGCCACATAACAAATTATTGCAGTTTTTAATACTTATTATGGGCTTTAAAATGTCTTAGATCTGTTCCATTTCATGCAGGGTATGTGTGTATATGTCTCTTCCAATGCAAGAGCCAATGACCGCGAGATGAAGTTAGTCAGAGTGACAGCAAAAAAAAGAGATGTTGCACACTTTTCGTGCAATGAGTACTGCACCTCTAGAATTCCTTGCTGAAAGGTTTTGTGGATGAAAAAATGTACAGGGGTTCAGTTAGGATCAAAGTTCATATTTAGATCCCTCTAGATCAGAAGATCCCTTGAGCTGAAAATAGCTGAAAGCTAGGAGATTACATGGAGCAACTATTCTGGATGCTTGCACTATTTTTATTTTTCACTGAGCACCTGGTTAGGACCACTCTGAAGGCAGTGACTGGGTAAAATGGTCTGAATTCTTATGGTTGTTTTTACATTCTCAGTCCCTCTTCCCTCTGCTCCTTTCTTTGTTGCTGTTGTAGAAGTTATCCCATGTCATCAGTCAAATAGTTCCTTTAGAGTGGATTGGTGATACCATTACATATTGAAATGTTTGGTGTGATGTATGCTGGAAGAGCATTGGCAGCAGGTCCAGAAAGGTGCTCCTTCCTCTCAGATCTGCCCTGGTGAGGCTGCATCTGAAGTGCTGTGTCCAGTTCACAGCCCACCAGTAAAAGAAAGATAAGGGTTTACTGGGGCAAGTCCAACATGGGCTGCAAAAATTATGAAGAGGCTGAACCATCTTTTATATGAGAGGCTGAAGCATCTTTCATGAGAGGCTGTTGAGGCTGTTTCAGTCTGGAGAAGACATGATTCAGGAGGATCTTATCAATGTATGTAAATGCTTGAGGGGAGCAACAAGAGACAAGGGGCATAAATAACATGAAATTCCCTCTGAGCTAAAGAAAAGGCTTTTAAAAGCATGAGTTTAAAAGTCTTAGGTTGCCCAGAGAGACTGTTGGGTCTCCATCTGTGGATGTATTCAGAACACAACTGGGCATGGTCCCTCTCAGCCTGCTCAAGTGGACTCTGCTACACCTGGGGGATTGAACAAGAGGATCTCAAAAGGCCCCTTGCACCCTAAAGGATTCTGTGAGGAAGCAGCAGATTTGGGCTGCATGGTTAGGGTCATAATGGATAAATAATAACAGCAATATTAGTAATACTGGATTTGAGATAGTAGTAAAGCTGTGGGGGAGGAAGCAAATGGTCACTGATTAGTGCTCAATAAAGAGAGAAATTCTGACTGACAAAATAGAGACAGAAGCCTGAGACTACTGCATTAAACAGTCTTTGCCTTTTCTTTCTCTTTAATAGCTGAACTTCGTTCGATTTTATCTTCCTTTGCTTATCCAGAAACATGAGAAAGTAATATATTTGGATGATGATGTCATTGTTCAAGGTAAGCTGTTGACTAAAAAGCAGTTTCTAACAGAATTACAATCAAAATTATTGCAGCTTTTACAGCCATTTGGAAATAAGAGAAACTGAGGCAGCTGCTAAGAGTGTTGAACTTAGGGAAACTACAAATAATCTGTTTGTTTAAATGAAAGTTTGAGGAAGAACTTAACTGCATATATTTTGAATAATTGTGATCATAATTTTATGTGGGTTTAATTTAAATTGATTCTGGTCAATTGCTGAAAGATACCATGGATTTCACTCATATACTACAATGTTTATTAAGTGTGTGATACACATTTCCTGCTAGTATTTGAATTCCCACAAATGCTACCAATTCCTTATCCAGAACTGCTGTTCTTGAGAGCAAAAGGAATTTACTCAAATAATAGGATGGAAGCTCCACACATTCAAAATATGGTTTTGAGCATCTTCAACTCAGAATGCAAAGCAATTTGCAGAATCATGAAGATTTTGGAGTTCCTAGTCAAGTGGGAGCTCTTAGAAGACATTAAAATCCTGAAAAAAAAATTTTTTTCTTATCATCCAAGTGATCTCTTTTGAAGACCAATTATTTTTAAAATATTAATTTCTTGTGAATTTTTTCTGTTCTGTTTCCAAGTTGTTGGGGTTTTTTTCTCTGTAGAGCTGTTGTCTTCATATTTGTTTTATCATATTTTCTTGTTACTTTAAAGCACTTTTTAGCCAGAGTGTTGTGCTTTAACCCTAGTGGGCAACTAAGAAAAATTTCCTTTGGAAGGACTAAGTATAACTACAATAAATTTTTTGGCCTAAATTAGTCTTTGTTATAAGAACATTAAGACCAGTAAATTTGCACATGCCAAAAGCACAATTCTCCACTGCTTTTCTGCACATTTTTTTTAGTTTTGTCTCTACAGAGTCAGATTTCAGACCAGCTGCACTTAAAGGGGTCACTATTTGCTGCTTTGTAAAAGACAACTAATCTGTTCTGTCTCACTTTAATTTGCCATAGACTTCCTATCACAGTTCTCCAACATGGATGTTTCCAATAGCAACCTCTGCTTTTTGTTTTTGTTGTTCTGTCTGTCATCAATGTGCAGCAGCAATGTTTAACTCTTTGGAAAGTTCCAGGTCTTCATTTAGACTCCAATTTCACGAGCAGCTCAAGCTGAGCCCGCCCCCGTCACCCCTCCCTGCACCTGTGTTCACCAGCCCCGGGCTCCCTCTTCCCCTGGGGGTGTTGGCTGATGGGGATTTGGAGCTGCAGGATAAAGGTGCAGTTTCACATCGCCCCTCATGGTGGGCTGCTGCTGATCAAGTGGCCTCTCCTGTCCCCAGGCAGCTCCTCTTATGTGTGTAAGCTGCAGCTGTGCAGCTGCAGAAGCAGCTGGTTCAGCTGTTTGACCTGGCAGAAGACCGGCAGTACACAAAGTAAAAGAGACTAAAGCAAAAGAAAAACTGGAAGCTGTAAGGGGTTGGGATGCAGGCTCACTTGATTGCTGTGGAAGTGCTCTGCTTCCCGCTGTCCTGAAACTGTTCTGGCACATCTTGGGTACCTGACAGTCAGGTGATGAGTGAGGTGACAGGCATTACAATGTTTCCCTCCACCAAGAAGGAGCTGGGTGGGCTGTGAAGCCAGCAGGGATGTTCAAGTGACAGGCAAATTTTAATCAGCCATTGCTGAGAATCCAAGTATCTTCCTAGGAGATAAATATGCCATAACAACAGGAAAAACCTCCTCTGTGCAAGACATTGAAGTGGGACTTTTGTGGGACTTGAAGAGGCTCAGAAAAATTGCCTGTGCCTTCCCTCTCCATAGACAAGCTCTATGACTGCACGAGTTTGTAACCAGGCTTTTTAACAGTCCTATCTGCTTCTGCTGTGGTTGATTTTGGACAACCAATGAATATGAATGTATTGAACACCAGTGATCATATCTAAATATAGACCTTAGGCATCCAGGTGCAAATTTGAAAATCATCCTATATTACAAAATTCAATAGGGGCTATCCTTCAAAACTGGTGTGTTTATAAGTAAGGCATGAGAGCTGACATTATCCTGTCAGCTCTGTAGCAGTGCAGTAGGTGTTGTCTGATGCTTGTGACCTTTCTGTAATCAGGTGACATCCAGGAACTCTACGACACTAAGTTAGCTCCTGGACATGCAGCAGCTTTTTCAGATGATTGTGATCTGCCTTCTACACATGAAATGGTTAGAAGTGTAGGGATGCAGGTAAGATGCCATTCTGGAATTCTAATAATGAATGTGTTTGCTCGAAAGTGTAAGGTGATTATATGTGTTTTCCCCAAAGTGAAAGTTTTATGTATATATATGGCTTTGTAATAGTTGTACAGGGAATTAAGGACTTTTTGTAGTGGTACAATTGTGGTGCTACCAAAAGACAAACATAGAGAGGGAAAAGCCTTATCAAACTTCCATGGTACAATATTGTGGAAAAAGTAATTTAATTCTGGCTGCCTTACAGCCTTGTCATACAGAACTCATGACAGGTAACCACCATGTAGAAACTCATCTTTGGGAGAGCATATTTAGTCTCCTTCTCAGTGAGAGTGAGGTGCATTTGCGTGTATCTTTGCAGAGATTCATAGGGGATGAACGTAATATTTTTTATTTCTTAGAACACATACATGGGATTCCTGGACTACAGAAAGCAAGCCATTAGAGATCTTGGCATCAGCCCCAGCACCTGCTCCTTTAATCCTGGAGTAATTGTTGCTAACATGACTGAATGGAAACATCAGCGGATTACAAAGCAGTTGGAAAAGTGGATGCAAAGAAATGTAGAGTATGTGTAGAAATCTAGATTTGCACTTTACTTTTAATACTTGTTTTACAGTTTTACTTTCTGTTTAAAAGTTCTTACAGGGTTTTTTTTTGTTTGTTTGTTTTTGTTTGTTTTTTTGTTTTTTTTTTTTTTAACTCCAAGCAGTCTTTTGCCATCTTGTCAGGTAATATAACTCATATTCTAACATTTCCATCTGTTTAAATCTGACCAATTCTGAACCAGGAAATGGCCCCTTGGAATTTTAGTCTTGTGCTCAATCATAAACCACATTTAATCCTGAGGGACATTGAGAACATGTGGTTCTCATTTTGGGTGACCAGCCTAGGATGAAGCCACTGAATGATCTTCCCTTCCTGAGGCTAGCTCAAAGAAGGAGGAGTATTTCTTTCTTGCCAGATACATATTACAAAAGGCAGAAGATTAAAAATAAAGATCCCTTGGATTTTGAACATATTCTTTTATTTTTCCTTTTGCAGGGAAAACCTCTATAGCAGCACCCTTGGGGGAGGTGTGGCAACCTCCCCAATGCTGATTGTATTTCATGGAAAATATTCCTCTATTAATCCTATGTGGCACATAAGGCATCTTGGTAAGTTTAATTTCTCACTGTTTGCAAGTTGGAATTAAGGTGAGCTTGTGAGATTCCACTGCAAGACCTTAGATGACTTTACCTCATGTACCACTTACATGGAAAGAATATATGAAATATCTGAATATAGTGAGACTGAAAAAATTCAGTCTCTTTCTAGGTGCAGTGGAAGAAAAGGGAAGGTCTGGCAGTGTTTGTTGTCAACATTTTGGAGGATATAGTTACCTTTCACCTGGGGAGTGATGAATTATCCTAGGAAAAACATAAAGAGATTGTTTTTAATCCCAGCTATGCCAAGATGTTAGTGTTGAGAGGAAATTTGCTGAGATTTTTTTTATGATGTAGAATAAGAGGCATCAAGCTGAAAAAATCTGCTGTATCATACAACTAGTTGTAGATTAGCATGAAAGCATACAAATCAGATTTCTGAAAAAAGTCACCTGAATTTAACTCACTCTACAGTGTATTCCATTATCAAAAATTGCATTTTTCAGCTTAATTTTTTAATCTACCCACGCAGGTTGGAGTCCTGATGCCCGTTACTCAGAGCAATTTCTTCAAGAAGCTAAATTACTTCACTGGAATGGGAGATACAAACCCTGGGACTACCCCAGTGTCCACACTGATCTCTGGGAAAACTGGTTTATTCCTGACCCTTCAGGGAAGTTCAAATTAACTCGTCCTGACAGCTGATACTGAAATACTGCATAATGTAGTGTATGGGATGCATTTATAGTTTGAGATGCAACATGCTGTATGATTAACTGATTTTAGAAAACAAAGTATTTGTTAAAAATGTGAATAACTGACCATCAGTTTTGTGTGTGTATGGCAGGTGAGGGAGGCTGGAGTGACCAGTACACAGTTCAGATTATGCTGACTTTCATGTAAGGTGAGGAAACCAGTTTACTTGACAGTGAAATATTTTCATTACACACTTACAGAGGTGAAATTCAGTGCCAGACAGAGTGCTTTAATTTAAGGTGTCTCTACGTAAGATTCCAATGTCTTCTGGTTGGAAAAAATCTACACAGGAGATAGATGCAGTGCTATGTACAAGAAGTGTTTAGTTATCTAACCCACATTAAACATCCTGAATTGAAAACTTGGGCACATGTTACTGAGTTCTGTTGTGTGGTGACTATTTTGTGGCATCTCTGTGTATAACACATCCTGTAGTGCACTTAGCAAGATGCAAAATACATTCCAACACACTGCAGTACAATTCCTGATTTTATTGTTAAATATTGATAGATTTAAGACAGATTAAGAACTTCTGTATCACTGTAACAAAAAGAGCACCAGTTTTGAGGGAGGACACAGAATTGCAGTTTTTAGTGGAATGGTCATTGTGCAGTCCACTCTATTTTATATTCAGATAACCAAATGAGTGATTCCATTAAGAAAGAGACCTTTCCCTTCCAATCAAACAGGATAGCCTTTCAGGAGTAACATCCTACTGTGCTACATACTCAGCAGTGCTAATTTCATGCTTCTAATTTTGTTGAAAATAAAACTGAATTGTAACAAATCCCTGATGCAAGATACTTTGAGCACCTGCAGAAAAAACATACATGTAAACAGCAATACATGATACAGTACACTTTAAATAACAGACAAGTCCTATACCTTTCTGACAATATGTGGAACAGCTTTATGCTGCAGCTAATAAACACAATCAGAATCATAATGCACACTCACTCAGTTGAAGATTCTCAGAATTAAGCCACATAATTTGGGAAGAAACTGTAAACATCACGCCTGCCTCACAACAAGTTGACAGTGTGTGATCTCCGTAAGAGGTGTTACAGCAGGATTAGAACCTACACTGACCAGTTACACACAACTGACAACTGTCACTAGCTGTGAAGAGAGGATAAATCACACTGGTACAGGAATCTCTGAGCAGCATGGAGTGTGGAGATACTGTTTGTGTCTGTTTTCAAGTATGTGAAGCACCAAATGTCATAAGATCATCAAAACTTTAGTGTTTTGATCAGCTTATTGCTTTTACTTCATCTTTTCCTCACATGATGAAAGACGGAAAGAAGATTAGGCACCAGCATGAAATTATTTTTTTTCCTCAGTCACTAATATTGGCCAAAAATGTGTATCATTTAGGCAAGTTCCTCAGAAGAGAGTTATAGTTTCTACAGACAACTTCTTATTCATAAAACACCTGTCCCTGTATTCAACTCAGTGTTTTTAACTTTTAAGTGGAACAAAGGGAACACCCTCTAAGGTACTACACATTAAAAAGAGCTTAATGTTAAAAACTACTAAACTGCAAATCTATTTCACCCTGTGCTAATTGGACATTATATAAATAACATTGCTGTACGTGACTTTTAAAGAGAATGCAGTCTTTCAGTTCTCATTCAAAGGGGTTATCTCCTGCTAAAGGTCAGGTGAAGGGACTAACTTCATTGAAATGATGGAGTTTAAATACCACAGAATTCAAGAACTACCACTGCTGTTTGTTTTTGCCTTTTTTAAAAGCAATTCCAGTTCCTTATGTTAGAATTTAAGGGGTAAAGAGATGAAGGGGAAGAGAAACCTTATCCTAAGAGAGCTCAGCTAGAATATTTAGGCCCTGTCCTGTGTGACACAAGTTTTCCTCCCCAGTGTTGTGACGTGAGATGATGTCTTCACTCTCTTTATCCTCAATTATGTTACGCTCACTGAACGGACAGCTCTCTCATCCCACCCAGAAGACAGCACTCACAGCTGCAGAACAGAACACAACTTTCTACACTTTTTAAGACAGTGAAAGGCGGGTTTAAAAAGCACCATTTTTCTAACTGTGCATGATTAAAAACATCGCTTCACACAAGGTAAGGGTACATTTTCCATTTTCTGCTCTGGATATAAAAGTATTAAGAGATATCCAAATATTGAGGCATCAATAAAAAGTATACTGCTGCTGTTCCAATCACATTGCCATTTATGGAATAAAATTAACACCCCAAAGAAATCTTCACAAATGAGAAAGCAATTTGTCAAAAACTGCAAGAAATGATATACATTAAATATAAAACTCATATACAAAAAAGGGCTAACTTTTTTTTTAAAAGTTTGGACGGTTCCTTAAAATTACCAAGTTCATTGATTTCAGCCTACCACACACTTACTTAGGACTATAATAAAATAACTAGGGGAGATAAAATACTATTCAGATGCTTCAGTTGGAGAACTGAGGTACCAATCTTGATCACTGCATTAAAACTGCAGCATGTGTGCATAACTGAGAAGGAGCAGCTCCTACACGCTGCTCCCCTCCTCTTCCCGTGTCATGGCAGCATTGAACTCTGGAATCTGGTCTGCAAAGGACTGTGTCATCCACTGTCCGTTAGGAACCTCGCCGAAGGACGCCCCTTCGCAGTACTGAGGATTGCTTCCTGCCGAACAAACAGAAATCACACCGTTTTTAAAGGCACTTGACACCCCAGGCTCTTTGTTCCCCAACCCTGGCTGCAGACGGAATGCCCCAAGCACTTTACCAGTTCCATTTGAAGACAAGCTGCACTGGTCAGTGTCATACGGCGCACGGTCACAGTAAGCTCCTCCATATGCTGCTTCATAGCCTGGGTCATACTTTTCTTCTTTGACAGCCATCTTTTTAGCATCCTCTGCAGAAACAGAACAGCTCAAGCATTACTATTTAGAATAAAAATTACCAAAGAGCACTTTTATCAGAAAACGTTTGAAAAATGGCCACAAATTCTAGAAATAATCCCTGCTCCCCTTAAAAAAATTAGGCTGTACTAAAGAGAATGGAATCTGTAATTCTATACCATACAGTTTAGAGAATCACATCTCCTCCTTGCCCATTAAAAATTCTTTATTTCCTTCTGCTTGGGCAACTGCTAGTATTGTACATTACATTACATTTTAATGAAGTGTTAACAAAATAACAACAATACCTTGTGCAAGTTGCAAGTCAAAGGTGTACTGCACCTCCTGGATTTCCGTGTTGGGTGCAATGCCTTTCAGTTGATCCCTTAAGTCTTTCAGCTTAATGTAATAATGAACTTTATCTTGTGCCCGAGGAAACTGAGCACATCTTGCACTGGACGATGGCATAACATAGCAGAGCTTGAGACAAAGAACAAGAGAAATTGCATTACTGATCCCCGAGCTATGAGTTAATACTCAGGGCATTCAGAACAACTTAACAGTTAAGTTCACTGTTTTAACTGTTTGTACAAACTTCAACTAATGCCACAGGTGGTTGTGGAATGGGTTAAACTGAGTTTTCATTTTTCTTGGCTAGCCATCTATCTTGCCCTGAAGAGAGGGGCTGATTGCCAGCTGCTAAGTGAGCACAATTTTCACCAGTTATTTATGTGCTGCAGGAGAAGCAGTACCCATGCGTGTTACAAGAGAGCAGAGCACACTCCAGAGCTCCCTGAACAAGCAGAGCTCTGGGCCAGGGCATAGAGGAGTACGTGACAGCATGCAAATAGCCCAAACCAGTGAGGGAGGCAGCACAGGGTAATTAGCCTAGCTTATTGGCCAAGTGTATCTGCATGACGCATGCCAGGCTGTGAAACTGTTGTTAGTGTAGCTGCAGCCAGCTTCAATGTTTCTATCTCTGTTAACAGCCCTAACTAAACACATCAAGTTTGTTCAGGAAAAACAAACTGTATTCAATACTTCTATTACCATGCAGTCTTTATGAACTAGTAACAGTAAAGGGAATTATTTTTCTTATAAACACATTTACTATAGAAGTCCTTAAGAGCTACCTAAGGAGCAAATACTTTATCCAATGATTCTTCAGGCTCTAATGGCAACACTTCCACCTTTAGAGAAAGGCAACTGAAACTTGCAACACTAGTAATTGAGGATAGAAATAAAAAGAAAAACCATCCAAACTTTTGAACTGACAAGGTAATGAAGCTTTAGAATAAGCTACCTTGGCAAGTAGTGTAATTGCCTTTGCTTTAACTTGTTTATAAGAACACATTAAACAAATCAATTTCTAATGATACATAGCTGGTCTCTTGAGATATTTTCCAGCACTAGAGTTCTATGACTAATGCACTCTTCATCAAATTGCTTGTTTTATCTTAAGCATCCAATTTAACTTCAAATTGTAGATCAGCTTAAGGAGACTCAGACTGACGGAAGCACTGGGGCAAGCCCAGATCCAGCAATGCTGAAGGGTCGTGTGCACTGGCACAAGGATGGACTTGCTGTTCTTTCTCCCCCACTGTGGCATTGCATGGTCATGGTCAGTATCAAAATCCAGTAGTACAAAAACCCAGGGAATTGGACACAGGGGATCAGATGAAAATTATCGTAAAAGCAGGCATGTGTTACTTCTGTTTTAGAGAATGCACCACCTGCTAACCATAACATACCATTTCTCAAAAGAGGTCTGCAAGTCTGAAGAAGCTGCATTAAAGTTGTGCCCAAAAACTGCGCTAATCCCCTTTCTCTATCTAAGTAGAAACCTTTCACACCTCTTGTACTCCGGTCAAACTGGTGTTATCCTAAGTGTGTGCAAGGCCTGAGATTTCATTAGTTTTTAAATAATCAAAATGGAGTGCCCTAGTTTTGTTTCTCCGTCTCAATACTTACAGTTTCTGTATCTGGCACTTTGTGTGGCTGCAGCCCAAATTCCAAGTTCTTAACTTTAATTCCAAAAACTTCTTTACTAAAAATTTCATAAATACCTAAAATGAAAATATAGGGTAAGTGGGAAAAAAAAAGCTACTGGCAGAAAAAAATTTATTTAAAAGTAAAAGTTCTCACATTTTCCATTAAAAGCTGCTATACGAGGTTTATACTTTTGTAGCTTCTGCATCAGAATTCGCCCTCCTTCCCGAAACTCTTTGCTAGAAGATAAAGTACTTAAAATTATAATCACAACTATTAATTCATTAACAAGCCTGATATTCCCCTTTATTGTCTTACCTGGAGAGGTCTTTGCTTCCAGGTGTTGTCCTTTCAACCATGTTTGTAAATCCAATCCCATATTTATGTGGCAAGGTGTGGTCATCCATGTGGTTCAGCTGTTCATTACTTAGACCAGACATGAACAGACATTTCCCTGTGAAGTTGGAAGACAGATATGCATTTGCCTTTTTCCAAGGAAAAGAAAACAGAACCAAAAAATTCTACTCAACTACTGGAGTACTGGAATACTAAAGGAAGAATCTATTTTAACAAAGTATCAGTCAGTTTGGGAAGACTCCTGCCCTATCCAGAAAGTTTTAAAATAGCCAATATTACTTTACCTCCTCCAAGAGGGCACAAAGGCCCTAGTGAACAGGAATTCCTTATTACAATCCTGCAAACCAGTCTTTTATTCTAGAAGTTCAGTACAGAGCTTTAGATTTTGTGATTAATTTAAGTAGTGATCAATATGGATTTGGGAGGAAAGACTGTGGCAAATACAATGTGTCAGCTTTTTTTGACAATCTTGCCATTGCTTCTCCTTGCTCTGGGCCTCTTTGACAGAACCCACTATCTTGAACTCATATTTAGCATATAAAAATCCCTCTCTGAAAAAAAACTGTAAATGCTAAAGAAGAAAGGAAAACAAAAACGTACAAAAATGGTTTCCAGGTCCCGGGTAATGATGTCCTTTGTAAGCTGCCATCAGGCCAGGGTTTATGCCAATCTACAAAGATACCAGTCCATTTTAACAATGACAACATGGCTTGCTAGTCAAGAATTTAATCAAGTTATAGTAAGAACGCTTATTCAATTCTCTCTAAGTTATTGTTAATAAACAAAAAAGTATTAACGGCACCTTCCATCAATTTTGCAGCAGTGCCTCATGTAGATGTGTGAAATCAAAAGAGCAGCTCAGAGGGTGCAGAGCTTCCAGGAAATAAACCACTGAGTCATGGGCTCTCATGAATCTGTACTAAACATGAGCCTTAGATTTCTCCGAAATTAGGACTAAATTACTATGGCTTTAACAGAAAATGCAAAGCAGCTCTACACACAGGAAAGAGTTGATGTACTTTATCTTGCAAGATCTTGCCATATAAGCAATATAGGTGAGTAAGCAGAAAGAATCATAACAAGTAATACAAGACTTTTCTACCTAATCTTGTAACTTGAATTACTCACTATCACAATGTCCAGATCAAAGGTCAAAATATCAGGCAAAGTCTTGGTCAGAAGTTCAGCTTCAGATACACCATTAAAACGGTCCACTTTTCTTTTGACTTTAAAAGTATCTGTGATCTTTTCTTGTTTGCCTTTTGACTTGGCTGGTTTTTCTTTTTTAGCAGCAGGCTTTTTGGGTTGCTTTGGCTCAGTTGCTTTGGCTTTTCTTTTCCTTCCCCCTTTTTTAACTTCTGAAACACACAACAAATATTCTTTTCGTACATTTCCAATGTTGCAGTGTGGATATTCAAATAGATTCAGCTAAATATGTGGACACAGAGAGAAATCAAAGAGGTAAATTTACCTTTAAAATTCATTAATTTAAGCAACACACCTGAAGCTTCCTCATCTTCTGGCTCTTAAAAGTTTAGAGATTCAAGCAGCACAGGCACTGGCCATGACATGACCACCCAGAGATTGCTCTCTCTCTCTCTCTCTCTCTATGTTCATTAATAACGTTGAGCTGTAGAACAGTGTCACTTTCCAACAGTTAGTATTTGTTTAAATAAGCCACACTAAACAGTTCCCTAAATGTGAATACTATAAAAACTAAGCAACCATTCAAACAGAAATATTCCAAATAAATTATACTGTACTTCTCTTGCAGAAAGTTAAAACAATTAGGTATTTTGAAGCCAGAATCTTAAAAAAAACTTTCTCTAATATTAAAACCTATGACTTCAGCTAAAATACTGTATTTACTTATTGAAAAAAAAAATCTTCCTTTCGTGGAACAAGATAATCATGTGAGACTGAACAATGTGCATACATTCACATGAGTTTACTTCCTGTCTTTTTAATTGTCTGTTAGAACACGTTTCTTAAAAAATACAATTAATCAATACTTCTGCAGTGAGCATCAAGAAAAGGAAATCCAATAGGTCCAAGGAAGCAGTTTAAGAGCAATATTTTTCCCCCAGTTAATCACTCTCACTTCAGCTCACTAGCACAGCCCAGTCAAGCTACCTTTCGGAGGCTCCTGAGCAATGTTTGGCTCTGGAATGCCCTCTAGAGTCGGCTGCTCAGTCATCATTTCCATGTTGGGCACCGCAGTCATCATCTGATGGAATGGAAATGAGTAAAACGCTTGAGCTTGCTGAAGATATGCGTAGTATCTTAGAGACAGAAAAAGAGAGAAGTAATTTATCAACAGTTTAGAAACTTACCGATGTACCAAACAGAATGACAACATCAAACTTTATCAAGGCTGGCATGTACTGCACTTACATTCTCTGATGACTCTGTTAACAAGGCACTAAATTATCCTCACCTTTGAAGCAGTCTGGCTGCTTAGCTGGTATCATTTAACCCCAACAAGTTCTCTTGTGATTGTCATGATGTGAAATTAACATAGCATTTGTAAGGGAAGAGTAGAGCTTTTATATATATATATTTTTTTTTTTTTTTTTTTTTGTAAAATCAGTGTAGCACACTTTTCCAAAGCAAACTGTCTATCAGACCAACAATTTACAACGCATGTTGAGCTAAAGCTCTCTGTCTCTGGACTTCCAGAAGTTTCCTAAATTTTAGATCTTTTTAATGTGGTGTCAGTGGCTTGATCTGGTAAGATACAGAATGGATCAATTATTCAGGGCTATAAAGCATTAAGAATACACACAGCATTTGCTACTGTGCAGACTATTAAATAGCTTTAACAAATGGTGCAGCAGATGTTGTCCTGCTACCACACACTGGATCCCAATACAAGTATTGCACTTATTCTACATGGAAGTGTCCCCACACACAGAGATCCTATGCATAAAGACATTTTTCCATAGACAGCTCTCTCTCTCTCCACACATTAATTAGTCATATACAGCCCTCACACCCATTTCTGCTTCATTCTGTCACTCCCTTCTACCTACGCATCCACCTTTTTGCCCAAAGCTTCTATTGCCTCACAAATACACAGCAAGGACTTGGTGAACAGCAGATTTTTAGGAAATAATTTTATCATCTCAGAGCTATAATTAAAAACACAAAATAATTTTTAGCTATAGAGATATTTGTCCAAGAAGGCCAATGGCATCCTGTATTAGCAACAGTGTGGCCAGCAGGTCCAGGGCAGGGATTGTCCCCTGGACTTCGCACTGCTGAGGCCACATCTTGAGCCCTGTGTTCAGTTTTGGGCCTTTTACTACAGGAAAGTGCTGGAGCATGTCCAGAGAAGGGCAACAGATCTGGGGAAAGCTCTGGAGCAGCTGAGGGAGCTAGGGGTGTTTACCCTGGAGAAAAGGAAGCTCAGGGGTGACTTTATCACTCTACAACCACCTGAAAAGAGGTTGAAGCTGATCTTGTCACTCAAGCAACAAGAGACAACTCAAGGGGAAATGACCTCATGTTGTGCCAGGGGAGGTTTATATTGGATATTAGGACAACATTTTTCATGGAAAGGGCTTTTAACTATTGGAATAAGTTGCCCAGGGAACTGCTCGAGTCACTACACTGGAGATATTTAAAAGATGCTATATATGTGCAAATTTATAGACAGGGTTTAGTGGTAGGCTGGGCAGTGCTGGGTTAATAGCTGGATTTGATGACCTTAGAGGTCTTATCCAACCTAAATGATTCTGATTTTAAATTTCTCAAAAGAAGGGAGCATTCTCTACTACAACTGGGTTTTTAAGAAACCTACTGTAAATCAGTCTTATGCAATATCCAACCTAAATGATTCTGATTTTAAATTTCTCAAAAGAAGGGAGCATTCTCTACTACAACTGGGTTTTTAAGAAACCTACTGTAAATCAGTCTTATGCAAGAAGAACCCACAGTCTTGTGATCAAGACACTAATTTTAACCTAAATATCTATCCTGAAACAAGGAGAATATGAACATAGGTCTGTCAGATTCTCAGGGAAGTTGCCTAGGAAAGCTATAGGAGATTTTCTGAGTACAGGGAATACCTTAAACCCTCTGCTGGAACAGTTCCACTTATATAAAATACTTGTGCAGTTAATGAACCAAACAAAACTGATTTTCAGATTTGTATTGAGAAACACATGAGATACTGAGACATGCAGAATCTAGTTCATAGTGTAATAAAAGCTTAATCATACAGAAAAGAGTGAGTAAGAAAAATGTGAAAGCATCTAACCTAAGACCAGATATCTTTTTGTAATACAGACCTTCTTATTTTATGTGTACATAAAGTCTCCTTCTAGCAAAAGGAATAAAATTCCTCATGAACAGAGAAAAAATTTGCACCAAACCACAAACAAGTTCTCTAACCACTTGCTAATGAGATGAAAGTGAAGTTTTACCTCTACCTCTATTTTAGGCCAGATTTCTTGCGTGGGTTCAGAAATACTTCTTTTTTATTTTTGTTGTTGATGTATATATATTATAGAACATTAAAATAAGTACTTTCAGTATCACGAGGAAAACGTAGCGATTTATTCCTCTCCCCTCCCTTCAGTTCATTATTTTTTCCTCTCTCCATCCCCCCCCCCAATCCGTTCATGCCAAAAACAAAAGGAAAAAAAAGAAAAAGGTAAAAATAATACACGTTCACTGGAACAAAACCAGGTATTACGTAATTTTCAAATCCCCTCTGCAGTGACAGAGACGCCATCGCGCCCCACGCTGCCCAGGGCAGCCGCGGGCCCGGGAGCCCCGGGAGCGCCTTCCCTCCCTCTTTGTGCCCGGGGGAAGGGGACGGAGGCGGCCGCCACAGCGCGGCCCCGGCTTCCCGTGGGATGGGGGGCAGGAGGAGAAGGACAACGGGCGGTCCCAGCGCGATCCCAGCGCGGCTGCGAGCGGCGCCCGCGGTACCTGCCCAGCTCCGGGCCGTCCATGCTGCCGCTCCGCTCCGCTCCGCACCGCCGGCCCCGCGCCCCCCCCGCCCCACCGCCCCACCGCCCCGCTCACGTGACCGCGCCGGCCAATGGGGGCGCGGGGCGGGGCCGCCCCGGGAGGGGGCGTGAGGGGCGGCCGGGCCGGGGCGCGGGCGCCGTGTCGCGACTCACCCGCCGGGCGCGATGCTCCCGCTGCGGCCGGGCTCCGCTCCGCTTCCCTCTTCCTTCTTCCCTGTTCCCTTCCCTCCCCCTGCCGGCGGCGGCGGGGATGACGCACGTCCGGCGCGGGCCGTGCACGGGGTCCGCCCCCAGCCATGCCCGCCGGCGTGTCGTGGCCCACCTACCTGCGGGCGCTGGCGGCCAGCATGCTGGCCATGCTTGCGGGGGCCGAGGTCGTGCACAGGTACTACAGGCCTGACCTTGTAAGTGCTCGGGGGGTCCCGTCGCTGGTAGCGTGTGTGCGGGTTGGAGGGTCTGTGCCTCGGAAAGGTCTCTGGCCTGGCGGCGGACACAGATGAGCCTCTACAGAGGCATTGGCCAGGCCAGTGCCAGGACTTCACTGTGTCCAGGGCTCGGCTCCTCAGTGCCAGAAAGACAAGGAGCTAATGGAGCGGGTCCAGGGAAGGGTCATGAAGACCCTGCGTCTCTTGGGAGAGGACTGAGCCTGGATCTCATTAATGCTCATAAATACCTTAGACGTGGGTGCAAAGAGAATGGTGCCAGACTATTTTCAGTGTTGCCCAGCGACAGGATGAGGAGCAAAGGCCATGAACTAAACCACAAGAAGTTTCACCTTAATATGAGGAAGAACTTCTTTCCATTGAGGATGGCAGAGTACTGGAACAGTCTGCCCGGGGAGGTCATGGAGTCTCCCTCTCTGGACACGTTCCAACCCACCTGTGTGATCTAGGTGACCCTGCTTGAAAGGGGGCTTGGACTGGAGGTCCCCTCCAGCTCTTACAATTCTGTGATTTCTCTGGGGAGTCATCTCCACTCTGCACATAGTACCATGTGTCAAGAAGGGGTGTCTGCTGTGGGAAGCTGGGTTTTGGAAAGAGTGTGCAATAGTGGCAAGAAGGGGCTGTACTAGATTTAAATAGATTATTTCCTCCAATGATGGAAATTAAGGTGACCAAAAGTTGACATTAGAAATGATGACAGACAAGGCTGTCAAGATTGCAGTCACAGAACTAAACTCTAAATGAGACTATCCACTAGGCATAATAATGGTTTGGTTTAGCCTCTTGGAGGTCTGACTTGGAAGCTTTCTCTCAACCTCCTGCTTATGTATAGTTCTTGGGTTTTTTAATTCTCTGGGCTACTTTCAAATGGGAAATAAGTTTTAAAAAATTACCATTGCTTTAGCTGTCAGCTCAAAATTTATGCAGTAATGCTTCAATCATTGATAAATACATTAGAATTTATGTGTTTTGGTAGTCTCGACTGTAGTCTTCAATACAGGTAAATTGACATATTTATTCAGAGTGCTCAAATTATATATATCTCTTAAGTAGCATGAATTTTGAGGAGGTGCAGTTCTTGAAATGTGTGGAAACTTCAGCTGTGCTAGAACATCTCTACAAAACTCACTTTAATGGCAAAAAGAAGCTTTGCTCCTTGAGAACAAACTGTTCTTCCTTTCATCTTGAGGTTTTTTTTTTTTTTCCAAATTGTATTTTGCTACTTTAAAATTAGTCAAATTACAAAAAGGTGTTTTGCATGTAGGAATTATATTCTGCTCAGAAAAGAGGGTGGTAAAATCACAGTTTAGCTGTCATGCTCTTCCAGAGTAAGCTCATTTACTGTTTTGGGGGTTTAGTTTTTCCTCTGTCACAACACTGATGTCTTTCTCTGTTTTTAATAGAGCATACCTGAAATACCTCCTAAGCCTGGAGAACTGAGAACAGAGCTGTTGGGTCTAAAAGAAAGATCAAGCGAAGTTCAGACTTCACAACAGTGACCAGAGTTTATTTTCATTGTGAAAATTAGAACTGATAAAATATTTGTCCAACTGTTTAAGTTGCAGAAATACATATGTGAAATACTGTGTTCCTGTAATGTGTCTTTGCTTTCCTTTGAGCAGAGTTGCAGGCAGCATTAAAAACAAACATACAGTGAATGCTGTTGGTAAAACTCCTATCAGTTGTGTGCCAAAATGCTTGTGAGTTCTTAAATCTGGATTACATTTTAAGTATCCTTCAGAATAAGGCATCAAACCATGACACAGATGTATCACTGACAGGAAATCTGCTTTGGTCCACTGTAAGGCTGGAATCTTACAGCTTTCTCATGTCAGTAAAAATGGGACAAATATGTACAGGTTACACTCAAATCAGATTTGTTTGTGCACCATTTGGGCATCTGCATCTGTCTATGGCTGCTTTTGATAGCTGTAAATAGGCAAAACTGAAATAAGAAGTGCAGGTTTACCTTTCAGTCTGCAAATAGAATCAGCACAACACCAGGAACTTGAAGATTCAGTCACCATCCTGTGAAGGTGGCTCAACAACCCAGTTTTGAATGGTACAGTATAGAGCTTGGGAAGGTTGGGATTGTTTTACTTGAGAAAGATGCCAGGACAAAGCACAGGCTTCATCCTCAGTTGTCACTTGAGTTGAACTTGTAGAAACAGTCTAACACATTACCCAGTAAGGAAACAAAAAGCTCCCCAATTCCTACTGCCAAAGTACTTAGAAGCCTTTTAAGAGCAGAGGTATCCAGAAATTATCACAGTAAGTGCTACATTTACATCAGTTCTGACTATGAAGCTATTATTTTATTTATGCCTATCTATGCTGTTTTCCTAGGAAGAAAGGTTTATAGTTCTTAGGCATGTGTATGTCTGTTCTCTCATCAAGTTTTACAGCTGTTGGTGGGATGAGCTCCTCTCCTGCTCTTGTGTGCCCATGTGTGCACGTTTTATATAAATAGATCACATCCTCTCTCTCAGGCACCTTTGTTAATGACAGCAAGCAGGCAGTGAGAGAGGTTCTGGTAAAACACAGATGTTAAGCCCAAACAAAATCTATCAATGAAAAAGTCTTAATAGATCGACTTCCGGTGAAAAGACTTTTTCCTTTACTGCACCTAAACAAAGCTGAGATTGGCAATCTTCTACTTCAGCAGAAGATAAAGATTATTGAGGCGAAAATGGGACAGTTCAGCAGTATTTTGTTTCTGTTGTAACTGGGGCATGAACAGCAGGTTTTTGATGATCCCTTTAACAAGCCAGCATTCACCAGCCCTGGCACTGTTACTCACACTTTGTCAGATTATCGCCTCTTATGTTGTTGATTTCTGACATGAAAGATGCATTTCTCTCTACTTTCTAAAGGTTTTTTAGATCTAAAGGCTGCAGAG